CCCCCCCCCCCGCTGCTAGGACCTTGGACAGTGCTCATTAACGGTGCTGGAATGACAGAGTACGGAACGCGGGCATTTGTCTCTACTTCCACCCTTCCAGGCTCCTAGAACATTGCCGGAAACATAAATACCTCTCCAGCTCTGGAGAAGTGTTTGCGCTCCTGGTCAGCAGCCTGTTGGAGAACCTCTTGGACTACAGAACCATTATCATGCATGACGAGAGCAAGGAGAACCGCATGAGCTGTACCGTTAACGTGCTGGTAGGTCCCAAGACCCTCGGTTGGCGAGAGGGCATTGCAGGGCCAGCCCCACAAGCACAGCTCAGCTCTGAGTCGGTCTCACAGGCACAGAGGTGCCCTGAGGCCACCTTTACAGAGTCTGTGCCCTGCTGAGTCTAATGGGAGCAGCTGACTCAGCTTTGGACTCCGATATCAGCTGCCACACAGACCTGGAGAATAAAAGTGGACACAGGGATAGAAAATGCCACATTAGCTCTTAACTCAGCTCTTACTTGAAGGCCATCTTTCACCTGTTTCTGTGTCCTGTTTATATCTGGTTGCTTTATTGTTTGGAAATATTGGGCATAGGTGAATATGCATCAGAAACCCTGTACCATGAGGGGAAAGTCATGGAATCCTCATGGTGCCAGAGCTCTGTGGTCTTGCCTTTCCCAGATATATGTAACTGGGACCACCGACCTCAGAAGCATAGGCTGCCATGAATTCCTCTGCTTAATAGACAGGAAGAACCTGGCACCACTGACTGCCTGAGAAAGAAGAAACCATCAGTTGACTTGAGTATCAGTTGGCTATTTGTTCACTTAGAGGATTTCCCTCATGTTTTTTAGACGAACGGTCCTAAAAACATTCTGCAGTTTATCTTCTTTATAAATGATCACTTCCTTTCTTTGTAGGGGTATTTGTTAAAGGGCAAAATTAAGTCTGGAAAGGTGACTCTGTTAAAAAGCAAAAGTCGTGGTTTGGCCATTTTTGATAACCTTTGGTTTACATCGGTATTTTTGACTCCCTTTTCTCGGTAGAATTTTTACAAAGAAAAGAAGAGAGAGGACATATACATAAGGTAAGCTGAAGGAGATTTCTGCTTTTGCCATTTATGCCATGGCTTTATTATTTATTTCTTCAGTTAACAAATACTAAGTCCCAACACCACGCTTGCTGCTTTGAGAGACACCAAAAAGTGTGTCATCTGCCCCGGGCCCCCCCAAAAGGGTAAACTCTCTAGACAGATATGGAAGCACAGTACATAGGGAGACTGGTGTCACGATTCCAGGAAAAGATAGAAGACTGGACAGAGCAGTCGGGAAGCAGTCAGCAGAGGCATGGCCATGTGCCTTCGTGTCCAGGACTGCTGAAGTCCTGACCACAAAACGAACTTGGATTTAAACTGTATGTATTTTCTTAGGGAGAGATTCCATAGTTTTTATTAGCTTCTCGGGGCAGGGGGGAGGGGGGGTCCGTGACAATTTTTTTTGTTAATGTTTATTTATGTTTGAGACAGAGAGAACGCAAGCAGGGGAGGGGCAGAGAGAGAAAGGGAGACACAGAATCCGAAGCAGGCTCCAGGCTCCGAGCTGTCAGCACAGAGTCCTATGCGGGACTCGAACCCACGAACCGTGACATCATGACCTGAGCTGAAGTCGGACGCTTAACCGACCGAGCCACCCAGGCGCCCCGTGACGCTAAAAAAAGAAAAAAATTAAGCATGCCCGTGTTAAACAAAAAGTACAGTAGAGTAGATGGAATGGGAAAGACACACAGGCAGGAAGCGGCACAGTGGGTTAAGTGGATGCAAAGACGGGAAGTAATAGATTCCTTGGTCTGTGCGAAGGAGGAGGGGAGAAAAGATGGGGAAGAGGCCGTGGTCTGGTTGCCTAATGAGGTGACCCTGAGCCCCAGAGCACCTCCTGTGTCCCCTTCTTACCAGGTACTTGTACAAGCTGCGGGATTTGCACCGAGACTCAGAGAACTACACAGAAGCCGCCTACACGCTTCTCCTACATGCTGAGCTTCTGCAGGTAAGTCGGTGGGGGAGGCTTTTTTCCACTGGGTGGGAGCCAACTGGCCAGCCCTTTGGGACCAAATCCCGCAGGCTTCCTGATTCTGACGGGAAAGAGCCTTGTCCAAGGGAGACCCCTTTAACCCAAGAGTTAGTCGAATACCATCTAAAACAAGCACAGCGAATTTCCTGACCAGTGTTGGGAAAATGTCGGTTATCATTTATTTAAAACTCCTTTGGAAGCAGAGCACAGCTCACAGGTCTCTAGTAATGGACAGTCTAACTGAAGAAACCAAACACGTTGACTAATATACGCAGCATATCCATAGATGTAAAAAAAAAAAAAAAAAAAAAAATTGTGCCACTGTCAAGAAATAAGTGGCGAATGAACATAGCAGTACTTTCCTATTTATACTCTCTTGCTGGGTAAAAGCGTGCCATGGATATAAGCACATCTGTACATCATGGTGTGTAATTATTCCTGGTCCCGAGCAGCCCCCTAACTTTGGATTCTCGTATGCACCGCTTCTTTCAACATCGCAGGGTCGGAGTGACCGAGAGACAGCTCACGCTTCACCCGGCAGTAACTGTTATTTCCCACTGTGGGTGGGGGATGATCCATTCCTACCTTCTCCTTTCTGCCCATTTTACCAAAGCTCACCTCGGTCTACGCAGGGGCTCCGGCAAATACCTGTTGTAATCTTTTTTTTCACCGCCCTCCCCCCCCCCCGCCCCCCTGTCGTGGCTGAGCAAGAATCATGGGCCTGTAGAGTTAGTGAACACCTCTGTCAGGGCACAGACTTTGTGTGTGTGTGTGGGGGGGGGGTTGGGGGGCGGCGGTGGGGGGGAAGCAGTTAAGATTTAGTCTCTTAGAAAATTTGAAGTCTGTAGTACAGTATTGTTGTCTGTAATCATTATGCGTTAGATGTCCAGGATTTATTTATTCTCTGGCCGTACTGGTACCTTTCAAGAACATCTTCTTGATGCCTTGGTGCCTTCTGTTTGCATGTGTTTGGCTTTGTTAGGTTCCGTACATAAGAGATACCACAGAGGATTCATACAGTATTTGCCTTTCTCGGTCTGGCTTGTTTCACTTAGCATAATGCCCTCAGGGTCCATCCATGTTGCCGGGAAAGGCAGGATTTCCTTCTTTCTCGTGGCTGAATGCTATCCGATTGCATACATCTTCCGCAGCTTCTTTATCCATGTATCGATACGTTGCCAGACGCTTAGGTTGTTTCCTTGTCTTGGCTATTGTGAATCATGGTGCAGTGAACGCAGGAGCGTAGAGATCTTTTAGAGATCCTGATGTCATGTCCTTTCTATCCACTTTTATGTATTTGTTTATTTTAATGTTTATTTATTTTTGAGAGAGAGAGACAGAGCGTGAGGGGGGGAGGAGCAGAGCGAGAGGGAGACACAGAATCCGAAGCAGGCTCCAGGCTCCGAGCCGTCGGCACAGAGCCCGACGCGGGGCTCGAACCCACAAACTGTGAGATCGTGACCTGAGCCGAAGTCGGACACTTCACCGACTGAGCCACCCAGGCACCCCTTTTCTATCCACTTTTTTTTTTAAATCTCCATTGCTGTCGTCCTGGTCCATTGTCTCTCCCCTAGAGCAGCATGATAGCCTCCTATCGGATCTCTTTGTCTCTGTTCTTGCCCCAGCAATTAATTTTCTTGTATAACTTAATTTTTATTTTATACTAAAAGAACACAGGTACGTTGTTCTTAGCTCTGTGATTAAACACAGGACTCCTCTGCCTCACCACGTCCCCAGGGCAACCATTCACAATCCATATTCAAGTTCGGGGCGCTAAAAAACTTATTGTGGGGGGGGGTGGGGGTGGGGGAGGGCTGGTTGACTGTGGAATGATCACAAAGAGACTCCCGTGTGTCGTTGACTGTAGGTCTTTTTATTTGTGCTGCTCAGAAAGTTAAACACCCTACCCTGGCATAAAGAATGCGGGGTGGATGCAACTACCCCCCACCCAGGTGGCTACTGGATTTCGGGTGCCGTTTACGAAGTACGGTCCGTAATTTTCTCACTGGGATGATAGTCCGTCTTTATCACGTAGTAAAGGGCTATACAGGGCAAGTCTCTTTTGTAGATTTGCTCAACTTTTGCATGGTCTGAATGAGTACTCCATGCACCAGCACCACACTGCCCCATAGTATGTTTTACTCCCTGGTAGTTACTCTTCACGGCTGTGCTTTTTTTCGAGTTTTCCACCCCATTCCTCTTGGTTTGTTTTTCCATAAGGACTTTGGAATCATGAAATTTAACCAGAGTTCTAGGGAGAATTTCCATGCTTATGGAGTCGCTGTTTTCTCATCCAAAAGCATGACAGGACTTTCCGTTTGTTTCCATTTGTCTGCTTTTGTGAATGTGTTAAACGTCTTCGGATGGAAGTCTTGCATATTCCTTGTTATGGTGATTCCTAAATACCTCTTCTCTTTACTTTAATTACGGCAAAATGCACATAACATAAAATGTATTGTTTAAACCATTTTTAAACCTTTCTGTAAACTTTTTGTTTTTAATGTTTGTTTATTTTTGAGAGAGAGAGCATGAGCAGGGGAGGGGCAGAGAGTGAGGGGGACAGAGGATCCATAGTAAGCTCTGTGCTAACAGCAGTGAGCCGTGATGGGGGCTCGAACTCACGAACCATGAGATCATGGCCTGAGCCGAAGTCGATGCTTAACTGACTGAGCCACCAGGCATCCCTATTTAAACCATTTTTAAGTGTACCATTCAGTTTCTTTATGTACATTCACGTTGTGGGGGCGCCTGGGTGGCTCAGTCAGTTGAGCCTCAGACTTCGGCTCAGATCGTGATCTTAGGGTTGGTAAATTCGAGCCCTGCATTGGGATCCCTGCTGACAACTCAGAGCCTGGAGCCTGCTTCGGATTCTGTGGCTCCTTCTCTCTCTGCCCCTCCCCTGCTCATGCTTGCGCGCGCTCTCTCTCTCTCTCTCTCTCTCTCTCTCTCTCAAAAATAAACATTTAAAAATTTGTATTAAAAAAAAAAAGTGCATTCACGTTGTGGTGCCTGGATTATCTTCTCATTTTCAGTTTTTTCTGTTGGGGTCTTCTATTTTTCAGAGTGGTCGTCTGTTTATAGGAAATTCCTCTCTAAGTTATTTCTGAGTTTGTTAATTTTTGTGCCGCTACTTAATTCTGTCACTCTCGGGGGTAGTTTTTCTGTTGACATGCTTTATGAAGGGATGGATTATGAAGAATAGAGTCTTGGTCTATACACGGTGATAGGTGTACCCCCCTCCTTCCCACTGTTATACTTCTAATTTTTTCTTTCATCCAATTGTCTGAGTGACACTTGCACGGAACGGCAGCTTTGCTGGTCGGCACCCTCGCCTTTTTCCTAACTTTTCACGTTCAGCATGACACTTGTTTTGAAGCTGGCATGTGCCTTTTGGGGGGAGGGGGTAATTTTTGTGCTTAATAAATAATCTAAATACTGCAATACGGCCAAGTTGAAAATATACACAAATTTGACTTTTAGTAGCTGAGTACTTGTTACATCGATCTCCTTTGATTAATTGACTTAGTTAATCACCGCGTTATGTTAATTTCTTTTGTTCCTTTTGTTTGTTTTTCAGTGGTCTGACAAGCCCTGTGTACCCCATTTGCTTCAGAGGGACAGTTACTATGTTTATACCCAGCAAGAGCTCAAAGAAAAGCTGTATCAAGAGATCATTTCATACTTTGACAAAGGCAAAGTGAGTTTGGTTTTTGTTTGTTTGTTTTTTTGTAGTAGGGGAGGGAAGAAATTGGCTGCAATATTGCAATGCCTTTCTGATGCTAACTACCCACGGTTAGCACAGACCCCTCAGGTGAAGGAGATAGTCACCAGTAAAACAGCCCTCTCTTGAGACAACCAGCCACAGTTTGGGGGACTCTGGACCACCCACACGTATGACCAGCTGACAGTAAATTTGAGCAGAGAGGGTCCTATGACGCCCTCAAATTTGATAACACTCCAGAACAACTAACACAACTTGGTAAAGTGCTGTGCTTACGATTACGAGTTTTATCTCAAAGGGCCCAAATCAGAACCAGCCAAATGAAGAAACACACAGGACACGGTCTAGGAGTGTCCCCAATGCAGGGCTTCTGTGTCCTCTCCCTGTGGATTCAGGTCACATCACTCTCCTGGCAACGCGATGTGTTCACCATTCGGAATCTGACCTGAGCTCCTCCTGTGCATAGAGTCTTTGCTGGGGTTGAAGGCTTCGTTAACCGACTCAGTGGCCACACGAGCGAACTCAGTGCCCAGCTCAGTGCCTTCTCCTCCCTGGAGGTCAAGCTGATACCATGTAGTTCAAGGCCCCAGCCCTCTAATCCCACAGGCTGTGGTCCTGGCAAGGCCAGTGCCCATTCTGAGACAGACCACAGGCCCAGTGTGTGTCACCTCATTAGTAGAACTTCAGGTGTGGTCTGAGGGTCCCGCCGGAAACAACAGAGTCACTCTCATCACTGGGGACATTCCAAGATTTAGAAGTCCCCTCTTAGGAACTCGCGACAGAGACTGCACGAATTTTTTTCGAACAGTGACTCATGACTCACTCTTTTCTTATTCCCATGTGTCTCTTGGAATTCTGGTATTTTTCTTGGGAGAGGAAATGGAGAGAGAAATTGAAGAAGTCAGTAGACATCAGTTATCTTGAAGACGCGTAACCCCATGGAGAACGTGCCGGGCGGCCCAGGGCCCTGCTCTCCATGACCCTAATTTCATCACTTAGGTATTGCTGAGTGCCAAGAGCCAGCACATCATTTTGAGTGCATTCTCTAGAGATGGTAGGCACATGGCATGCCTGGGTGGCTACTTGCCAGACTGCACAGGTAATAAACAACCTGATTGCTCCAGGGGCTCTTGGGAAGGTAAAATAAACATGTGACCTGGGCAGGAAATTGCGGAGTCTCTGGTGAACTGGAGGAAGCATGTTCAGCTGAAAGGCTTTAAAAAAAAAATTTTTTTTTTTAACGTTTTATTTATTTTTGAGAGAGACAGAGACAGTGTGAGCGGGGGAGGGGCAGGGAGAGAGTGAGTCACAGAATCCGAAGCAGGCTCCAGGCTCCGAGCTGTCAGCACAGAGCCCGATGCGGGGCTCGAACCCACGAACCGTGAGATCATGACCTGAGCCGAAGTTGGACGCTCAACCGACGGAGCCACCCAGGCGCCCCAACGTTTATTTATTTTTAAGAGACAGACAGAGTGTGAGCAGGGGAGGGGCAGAGAGACAGGGAGATACAGAATCCGAAGCAGGCTCCAGGCTCCGAGCTGTCAGCACAGAGCCTGATGCAGGGCTCGAACCCACCAGTCGTGAGATCATGACCTGAGCCGAAGTCGGGCGCTTCACTGACTGAGCCACCCGGGCGCCCCTAGCTGAAAGGCTTTTACAATGGAGAAAATAGTACAGAAGGGATAACGGCCCCCCCCCCCCCCCAGGAAAAAACGGTGTGCTATCCAAACAAAACATCCTAGAGTTGACACGTTTCAGAGGTCTGGGTAGTTCTTACGGACTGCCACTTCTGGCCACTATTCCTGATTGAGCAGTGCAACTTGTTAGTTAAAAATAGACAAATGAACAAGCCAACGCATCCTTCAGAATGGGAGAAGATATTTGCAAATGACATACTGGTTAAAGGGCTAGTATCCAAAATCTAGAAAGAACTTACCAAACTCAACACCTGAAAAACAATCCGGTTAAGAAATGGGCCCAAGACATGAATAGACTTCTTTTCCAAAGAAGACGTCCAGATGGCTAACAGACACATGAAAAGATGCTCAACATCATTCATCATCAGGGAAACTTATATCAAAACTACGATGAGATACCACTTCACATCTGTCAAAATGGCTCAGATCAACACAAGAAACAACAGAGGTTGGCGAGGATGCAGAGAAAGGGGAACCCTCCTTACCCTGTTGGTGGGAATGCAAACTGGTGAAGCCACTTTGAAAAACAGTATGGAGGTTCCTCAAAAACTTAAAAATAGAACTACCCCATGACCCAGCAATTTCACTACTGGATATTTCCCCAGTGGATACAAAAATACTGATTCCGAGGGACACATGCACCCTGATGTTTATAGCAGCACTATCAATAATAGCCAAATTATGGAAAGAGCACAAATGTCCATCGACTGATGAGTGGATAAAGAAGGCATGGCATATATATGCAATGGAATATTACTCAGCCATCAAAAAGAGCGAAATCTTGCAACATTGTTGAGGGAGCTAGAGTGTATTATGCTGAGCAAAATAAATCAGTAGGAGAAAGACAAATACCATATTATTTCAGTCGTGTGTGGAATTTAAGAAGCAAAATAGATGAACATAGGGGAAAAACAAAAACAAACCATAAAACAGACCCTTAACCATGGGGAACAAATTGAGGATTGATGGGGGGAAGTGGGTGGGGGGTGGGATAAATGGGTGATGGGTATTAAGGGGGGCACTTGTTGGGATGAGCACTGGGTGTTGTATGGAAGTGATGAATCACTAAATTCTATTCCTGAGACAAATATTACACTATATGTTAACTAACTGGAATTTAAATAAAAACTATAAGCAAACAAATTAATTTATAAAAGCCAGATAATCACCTTAATAAAATAGCTACCATCCATTTAGTACTGGTTACTCTTTTTGGTGATTTCCAGACTTCCCTTTCTAATTTAATTCTCAAAACCCTATTAGGTAGATATTGTATCTTTTTTACAGGTGACAAACTTGAGGCCCAGAGGGCAAGTATATTTGCTCAAACACTTTGCTCTCTGCACCCCTTTGCCCTCTTAAACATCATTGAGGATCCCAAAGAGCTTTCTTCCCCCTGGATTATATTTATTGATACTTCTACTCTTAGAAATTGAAACAGAAAATCTTAAAATATTTGCTTATTTGTTCTCTTAAAGCCATTTTTACTACTAATATAAATCATATGTATTAAAAATAAGTATATATTCCAGGGGCGCCTGGGTGTGGCTCAGTCAGTTGAGCGTTCGACCTCAGCTCATGTCATGATCTCACGGTCTGTGAGTTCGAGCCCCACGTCAGGCTCTGTGCTGACAGCTCGGAGCCTGGAGCCTGCTTCGGATTCTGTGTCTCCCTCTCTCTCTCTGCCCCTCCACCGCTTGTGCTCTCTGTCTCTCAAAAATAAATTTAAAAATGTTAAAAAAATATAACTATACATTCCATAAAAATAGTGATATGAGTAGCATCGTTTGATACGTTTGCAAATCTCTTCAGCATCTGGCTGAACAGGAGACAGCAGGATTCTCCTGTCTGCTTCTGTGTTCAGTCTCGCGGTATTACACCTGTTGTCGTCCGTGGGAAACCCCATTGTACAAGAGGATGGGGCTTGGGAAAGGCAAATCGCGTTATTGTTACTAAGGAGATAACGTTGCCTTCTGGTCCCCCTAATAGGGTCTTGGGGACTCGCGGAGGCCAGGGACCACACTCTGAGAAGCGCCGTGCTCGGCCATCTCCCTGCCTCTTACATAACTTAGCATTTGGAGAGAACTTCTCTGATACTGTTGACTGGCTTCCAGCTCCAGATTCACCTGATCTGGAATGGGTTCCATATGGCAGATTGCAGAGCCTTTGCAGGGTTCCAGGCACTGAAGTTTCAGAGGGGCCGAAGTTGGCAAATGATTTTTAGAAGACTTAATTTTAAAAGGTGTTATAACCGTATGTGAACTGTCCCTACATTCCTTCAGCACCCAGAAACAATGGAACACAGCACCTGGTTAATAAGGATCAAGTAGGAAATTACCAGATGCTGTGTTATTTATAGTGTCCATCTAAGAGGCGTTTCATGAACCATCAAAATGAACCGAGGGCTCAATCTGGGATGCCAGCCTCAGGCACCACATATGTGCAGTAGGCTGTAACTGAGACAGTCATAAATGGTTTAAAAAGGCATTTTTCTTAAAACTCCCGTTGGCTAAGTAGATAGTTTGGTTAGGAATAGGGAATCAGGGGCGCCTGGGGGGCTCAGTCGGTTAAGCGTCCGACTTCGGCTCCAGTCATGATCTAGCGGTTCGTGGGTTCGAGCCCCGCGTCGGGCTCTGTGCTGACAGCTCAGAGCCTGGAGCCTGCTTCGGATTCTGTGTCTCCCTTTCTCTCTGCCCTCTCCTGCTTGTGCTTTGTCCCTGTCTCCCTCTCTCTGTGCCCCTCCCCTGATGGCGCTCTGTCACTTTCTCTCAAAAATGAATAAAAAGCATTAAAAAATTAAAAAAAAAAATAGGGAGTCAGTGTTCTAAATTAGAGAAACAGCTTCCCGAATTGTACCCAACAGTATGGTTAGCCTTTCTTCCATTTTCTTCTCCTCCCAAACATCCTTATTCAAAGCGCACACACACACATACGCACACCCCAGAATCCGAACCAGAGCTCACACCAACTTCCTTTCCCCTCTGACAAGACTTCCATGCTTTCAAAACCCAGGTTTGGGAACTGGTTCCTCTCAACTCTCCGTGGTCTCTCGTGCTTTGCCCTTTCAATGCCGTATCGCGTTGTTTAGGACGCACGGTATTCTTCATGTTCTTGCAAATAGAGTTATAGAATATGTGGCCGGGAAAGCAGCCAAGATACAGTAGCGTCATCATGTCAGAAAAAGACAAAGGTTTGGTTGATCCAGGAGGTGAGGCGTGGTGAGAATGTCTGCAGAAACTCAACCCACCTGACTCCTTAGTCACTGTCAGCGACTCTCCCCTGACTTTCACAGAGGGATCACCGACTGCTTTGTTCTCCGCTTGTAACCCTACCTTTCTTTTTCTGAAGATGTGGGAGAAGGCCATCAAACTGAGCAAAGAGTTGGCTGAGACCTACGAGAGCAAAGTATTCGACTACGAGGGCCTTGGCAACCTGCTGGTGAGTCCCGGTCAGAATATATCAAGCCTCCAGAAGGAGTGTGAAAATCAGCATTCGTGCACATGTTTTAGAACATTTGGGAAAGTCGAGATAAACAGCCTCCTTTACCATGGAAAAGTAAACCGTGCTCAAAAGAAAAATGAAAAAAAGATGAGGTCCAAAAAACGTTCGCGTTATCTTCCAGATTATCTCTGATAAAGAGCTCGAGATCCTTGCCTACAGACCTCTTGCCCTTGTCTGTGCCTTTTGTCTCTCTAAGGACCCTCCGTATTCCTGACCCATCTCCCCTCTCCCCTCGCAGTTACTGTGCCTTCTGTGAACACGCCCCATATTTCAGATATTTTCTGACATCTTCTGTTCATCAAAATTACTTGTTCTGTGGCCCACATCCTCAGGGGCCTGCTGGTGGCACAGATCAGCTATTTAATATAGCAAAACAAAAATAACCCTCTAAATGTCCAGTGGTAGGCCAACACAGCATTCCATTTGATAATTGTTAGTAGAGGAATCACAAAAGGTCAGGCCACCCATTGTTAGGTAATAATACAGTTGACCCTTGAACAACGCGGGGTGGGGAGGTGAGGGGCGCCAACCCCCCCCCCCCACAGCTGAAAAACCGCACATAACTTTTGATTCCCCCAAAACTGAACTACTAATAGCCTATTGCTGACCAGAAGCCTGCCTGATAACATAAACAGTTGATCGACACGTATTTTGTACGTGTATTCTATATTCTTACAATGAAGTAAGCTGGGGAAAGACATTAAGAAGATTGAAAGGAAGCGAAAATATTTCCAGTCCTACACTGTCTTTATCAAAAAAAAAAAAAATCTGCCTGTAAGTGGACTCAAACATTTTAAACGCATACTGTTCAAGGGTCAAGTGTATTTTATTTGAGGGGATAGTTGTCAAGGTCACTTGGAAAAGAGCTTGCCCGTGTGCTGTGCCAGTTCCTAGTCTCACACACAAAAATGACTTACTCATTTCCTGAACTTAACCGAGCTGTTCGTGATGGAACGTGTTACCCTTCGAAGCAAACACTGTGATAGAAACCTTCACCTCAATAGAGTAGTAATGCAGTCATGGGACCATTGTGGGAGGGGCCGGGACATGCCTCAAAGACCCCAGGTCTGGCGACCTGTTTTGCTTTCTTTAAGTCTGACTCTCAGCCCTGGCCGGGAAACCTATTCCCGTGGGAAGGATTGAAATTAGGGCTGGTACCAGATCCTGAAAACCAGAACATCACCACCACCTTCTGGGCACTTGTGGCTGAACCAAGGACTTTAATCCAAACCACCTGTGAGAACCAGAAGATTCCTGATCTTTCCTCACGGGTCTCTGTTTCAGTGCAGCCACCCTCCGTGAACCTCAGAAAGAGCTTTTGAACCTTTTAGGGGTCCTGAACCCTCTTCAGGAAACTGTCCATCACTAAACACTGCCCCCCTCCATAGAGGCATATGCACACGTGTTCATCTTTCTGCATGCAGCTTCAGAGATTGCTAGACCCTCCAAGGCTCATTCACGGACCCACGTCCAAACCCTTCGATCCAAGAAAAGGATAACGTCTTGGCCCACAAGATATTTTCCAAAGACTTTTCATTTATCTGTTGATCCATGAGAAACAACAAAGCGAACAATACTCTGATCTTCCCCACCCCTCAGTGGTGCCCTTGGAACCTCCCTGTGGAATGCCTTGTTTTGTTTTCCAGAAAAAAAGAGCCTCGTTTTATGAGAACATCATTAAGGCAATGAGGCCTCAGCCTGAGTACTTTGCCGTTGGATACTATGGACAGGGCTTTCCTTCTTTCCTACGGGTAAGAATCCTCAGGGTGGTCCTCTAAGCCATTAAGCCGTGCCATCTGAAGGAGGGAAGGTATTCATCTCTGTTCCAGATGGGCCTAGTGTGTTAGCAGCTGGAGGCCCATGTTCTCACTGTGGGAGGTCGGGGAGGGAAACCACTTCCTGCGTGGCCGGCGTCCTCACCCCACGCCCCCAGCCTCTGGTATTCTGACAGCTCGATTCCAAAATGACTTTTCCCAGGTGGAATGAAAAGGGGGAAAAACAGAACCCTCCCCTCCACTGGTCTGCTGCTACAGATCAGGCTGGGGGAAGTGTGGATTGATGTGTTTCCTTGTCTATTTTATTTCCAGCCAGAGCCAGTTTGAAAGCAAATATCCCAAGGACGGGACTGCGAAAGTTTCACAAAAATAAAAACAGGCGTTGTAATAGTGAGAAGGACCGTGTTTCTCCTTCCCCAAATTTTTCTCTAACGGGACACTGATTCTAAAATCTAAAAAACAGGCAAAATCGTATTTTTTCCGGCACAAACGGAAGCCTCTTTAGAGGTAGCCGTGTTTGGATGTATGATCCATTTTCCGTCCCCTAATTTAAGAAAATGTAGAAAGGAAGTACTCTGCATGCTGCATCATTCCCAAGGAGGAGGGAACTCATTCATTCATTCGGTAACGTCTGCTGAGTGCCTACTGTGTACCAGGCACATACTAGGCAGATTATAATCAGATATGGCCCTTACTCTCATGGCGTTTACAGCCTAATGGGTATAATGATAATTGAATAATCATGCAAACAAATGGAAATTGAAACTGACCAAAACGGGTATCCTGTGCTGTAAGCGTTGGTTAACCAGGGAGTATTTACTGAAATATTAACCCAAGTAAAATAAAAACTTACGTTCACATGAAAAAAAAAATTCACATGATTGTTTATAGCACCATTATTTATAATCACCAAAGACTGGATGCAACTCAGGTGTCCCTTAGTTGATGAGGGGATTAAAAAAAAATGTCAAAAGAGCCATGCAATGGAATATTACTCAGTAATTAAGAGGAATAAAGTACTGGGGCGTCTGGGTGGCTCAGTCGCTTAAGCATCCGATTCTTGATTTTGGCTCAGGTCATGATCTCAAGGTTTCGTGAGTTCGAGCCCAAGTCAGGCTCTGCACTGGCAGCATGGAGACTGCTTGGGATTCTCTCTCTCCCCACCTCTCTCTCTGCCCCTCCCCGACTTGTGCTGCCTCTGTCTCTCCCAAGATGAATAAATGAACTTAAAAAACATTTTTTTTTAAAGGAATGAAGTTCTGATACATACAAGCATGTGGGTGAATCCCGGTGCATTGTGCTAATAAGTAAAAGAACTTAGAGCATAAGGTCTACGTACTCTCTGATTTTCTTTCTTTTTCTTTAACGTTTATTTTTTATTTTGAGAGAGAAAGAGAGCACGCAAGTGGAGGACGGGCAGAGAGACAGGGAGAGAGAGAGAATATGAGCAGGTTCCACACTGTCAGCAGAGCCTGATGCGGGGCTCAATCTCACCAATCGTGAGATCATGACCTAAGCCAAAACCAAGAGTCGGACGCTTAATGGACTGAGCCACCCAGGCGCCCGTCTCTGATTTTCTTTATATGGCATCTGTTACGCTTAACGTAGAGATGGAAAACAGATGAGCCGTCATCTGGTAGCTGTTGGGGAGGGTTGGGCTTCACAAGTATCAGGAAATTTTGAGTGGTAGTGAAACTGTTCTGTATCTTGATTGTGGTCATGGTTATGTTTGCCAAAACTGGCAGAATTTTACAGCAAACGGGGGTAGATTTTACTTTATGCGAATCATGCCTGCGTTTCGTAAGAGTCGAGAAAGACTTCCTGGGAAATTGCTGTTCCGACTGCAATGTGAGCTTGGTGTTACGGAGATCAGGGTGATAGGAAGAAACATTCCAGGCAGAGGAAGTGGCAGGCGAGGGCATGGCTGTGCCTGGGAATGAAAGACCAGCACGGTGGTCACAGAGAGAGTGAGGTGATGAGCAGGGAGTTGAGGCACAAAGTGTGGGGGAGATCACACCGGGCAGGGCCGTGGGGTTGCCCCAGCTGTGTTGTCAGCATCCCAAGAGCAGGAGGGAGCCATTGTGGATTCTAGGTGTTGGCAAGGTCATCGTCTGGCTGGTATGGGCAGTGGTCGGATGTGTATAGATAAGCCACTAGAAACTGTCACAGATTTTGAGAGAAGGGATGTCGGGATGGCCTAGGGAAGTAGCTGTAGGAAAAATGGAGGGATTTCGTACTTGGTGATTATTGTTGGGCCATGTGCGTGAGGAAGGAGGGGAGTAGGTCTCTGGCCTGTGTACTAGAGGGGCTGTGGAGCCATCCACTAAGATAGCAGTAAAGGAAAAGGATAGAGTCAATCCGTTCATTGAATAAATATTTATTGAATTCTTACTTTGTGCCTTGTTATACGCATGGGGGGCACGGTCCAAAGCAACCCAAATCCTTGAAATGATGGAGCTTATATACTAGCTTGGAAACACACACAAAATGTAAGTGAGACATTTGGTATGTCAGACGGCCTAGAACAATGCCTCACGCCGTGTAGACGCTCCATAAATATCAAGGAGAAGACGTCAGGGAAGGTGAATAGAGAGGCAGGTGATGGGGGTGGAGCTACAATTTTAAATGGAGTGAATAGGAAAGGTGTCAGTAAGAAAATGACACTTGAGCAAAAACCTGAAAGAAGAGAGGGAATAAGGCAGGTAACCGTCAAGAGATGAGATGGGGTACCAGGCAGTGAGGACAGCAGGTTCGGAAGCCTTGAGCCTGGAAGCACATGACCAAGAGGACAAGTAGAGAATGGGGCCAGATGGCTCTGGGTACCGGATCGCAGAGGGCCTGTCCCATCTTTATACGTTCTTTGTGAAAGTCTGGTTTCGGCCATACTCCGTGTGAGGGAAATTTGGAACATCCGAAAGATGCAAGTCAACAATCTGATGTATGGATCCAGAACTCAGCGGAAAGTTCCCGGCTGGAGATAAAGTTGGTGGGTTATTTGCACCTGGATGAGGTAGCGTAGGGAAAGAGAATGGGGCACCAAGGGGAGAGGGTCTAGGAAGGAGCCTTGCAGTAGGTTCTAGTCTTAAATCGGCCCTCAGTCTCGGCACTCGAGTCCTGGTAAGGCAGTGGTGCCTGCCATACTTGTGTGACTGCTGTGTCACGTGACATAACGGACGTGGGTCGGTGGGCCAGCCAAAAGACTAGACTTTCCAGTTGAGACATCGGGGTCCAGATCATCTGCTGGGTGACTCTGCGATGTCAGCCAAATCCCATGACCTCCGCCTTTTCTGCTGTGTAAATTGGAGAAATACTGCCCACTCCACAGGGCCGTTTTCAGAAGGAAATAAATAGCGCATAGGAGTGCTTTACACGCCGTCAAGCGGTTTGTGGATGCTCTGTGTTATCAAAGGTGCTGGAAAATATAAATGCCTCCTCAGTGATCTAGCCTACGTGCCCTTCTGTCTTACGGACTATTTCCCCAAACTCAGACTATCTGAAATTGTGTTGTCCGCTTCCCCCCAAGCCCAGCCCGGTCCCCTTCGTCCCCGTTTCTGTCAGCGGCACATGCTTTTCCTGCTCCTGGGCCAGGCATCCCCGAATCCTCCTTGATTCTCCCCATCTGCTGGCCCTTCACCAAACACCAGAGTCAAACACCAGATCTCGTAGCTTCTCCTTCTCCCACTCAGTCCTGCCTAGGATTCCTGCAGCTGAACGTGCACTCCACCGTTCAGACGAGCCTGTCCAGACTGCTTCTGTCATCCTATCACTCCCTCCTTGCGGAACCTCCAGTACGTTCCCTGGGCCTTCGGAACTTGTGCCTGCCCTTCACTGGTCTGGCTCATCCAAGCTTATTTCTTCTACCTCAGTTCCATCCCGTCTGCCCCGTGGCCTAATCCTTCTGTTCACCTACCGTGCCTGTTTTGGTGGTCCAGCCCTTCTCTATTCCTCTCCTTACCCTATCTGTCCACCTGGGCCCCGTCGATCTCAACGTCGTCCCTGAAGCCCTCCCTTGCAATCCGGGCTGGTCCGTGCTGACCTTGTGCTTGCCTGCTCCCGTTCACCTTGTTGCCCACGTCCCACACTTCGTGCCACCCTGTGCTCAGCTTCCTTGCCTGCCGCCGCTTTGCCTGAACGATGGCATTTCACGAGGCAGGAATTGGTCACATAAATCTCTCCCGGCTTGGAAAAACTTTCATCATCCCTTCCCAAAGATCTGGCAATTTCGACGGCCATCAGCATTTATCCTACAAGATACATAGCCTTCAAGTTACTTGTATCGACTGTCTTATTTACTTGTTTTCTGTTTCTGTCAGAAGCTGAGTTTTGTGAGAGTGGGGGCATCATCATATCCCTCGTGTCTTAGCAGGTCCACTGTGTTTGTCCATTGCGTGTTGGTTATGAGAATGGACAAGTAAATTCTTTTTTTTTTTTAATTTTTTTTTTTTCAACGTTTATTTATTTTTGGGACAGAGAGAGACAGAGCATGAACGGGGGAGGGGCAGAGAGAGAGGGAGACACAGAATCGGAAACAGGCTCCAGGCTCCGAGCCGTCAGCCCAGAGCCCGACGCGGGGCTCGAACTCACGGACCGCGAGATCGTGACCTGGCTGAAGCCGGACGCTTAACCGACTGCGCCACCCAGGCACCCCTGGACAAAGTAAATTCTAAAAGCGATTTTCCCGGACAGTATGGGCCCCAGTTTTAGTTAAAAATGGCTCATGTCCGGGCTGCCAATGCTAAGTACTCATCTGTGATGAGCAGGTGAGCAGAAACCTTCAAACCGTGGCTGCGTTAGAACTTCACTTGGGCGACATCAGCCGTGAATCAGATTACTCCTAAGCCTGAGACTTAGGAAACTTCTTTCTTAAAAAAAAAAAAAAAAAAAAAAGGCCCAATTTTATTAATTTTGTTAAACAGAAGAAGAATGTAGGTTAGAATGGAGAGAACAGTATTTAGTGCAGTTATTTTCCTTGAGACGTTGACATTGCCCTCCACGGTGGTTTTCGGGATAATCTAGGGACAGCTCTAATGCATTCCTGTTCTTCCCAAGTGAAGGTTTGTTGTGTTGACTCTCTTCATGCATTCCCGTCCTGTATGTCAGTGCCACTCCAAGCGCTGGTCCACAGACCGATACTGGATCTTGACGGGAGGAGGGATTGCCTGGGAAGAAATCGCTGCCCTACCTTCCTTCATTGAGAATGTCTTGCTATGGGGAAAAGAAAAAAAAATCCGCTGAATTCAACACTGTGCCCGGTGGCATCACAGATCCATATCAGGGCACAAGCCCCTCATTGCCTTGTGGCTGAGTGCAGAGCACTCCTCTGGTCTGTGGTCGTTGGGCCACACTACGAGAAGCACTGCGGAAGCAGCTTTATGCCCTTGACCTTAATGCCCAAATCACCCATGAGCTCTTGCCGGATAGGATGGTTGGTGCAGGGCGCGCAGTGAGTATTCAGTGAGAACTTGATGGCGCTTTGGCTGGGAGGGCATGGCTTCCTCAGCACCGGGCTCTCCAGGGCTCCTTCACGCTTCATATTTACCCGCCTTGCTGTCTCTGACCTGCAGAACAAAATCTTTATCTATCGGGGGAAGGAGTACGAGAGGCGAGAAGACTTCAGCCTGAGGTTGCTGACGCAGTTCCCCAATGCCGAGAAGATGACCAGCACCACGCCCCCGGGAGAGGAAATCAAGTCGTCCCCAAAACAGTGTATCCTTGCCTTGGGGAGACACGGCCCGGCCCGGCCACAGAAGCTAAGGGTTCGGTCCCCCGACCACTCGTTTAACCATTCTGACTCTCCCTCCCATTCTGTGTCAAAGCTTTGGGGCCCTAATGTCCTTAGCTCATGGTTATGAAGTAGAGGAGAGAGATGGTAAGCAGATCTTGAATAGGAAAGGATGTTTTAGAGCCAAATGGAGACCTTGAGGACAGAGCGTTCCTGCTCAGAATCCTGGATCCTGGATAAAGATGCCTGGCTCTTCTTTTGTAACATGCAATGACTTACTGAAAAATTAATTACATGCTTTCTTTTTTTTTTTTTTTTTAGATGTTTTTATTTGTTTTCGAGAGAGAGAGAGAGAGAGACAAAGTGTAACTGGGGGAGGGGCAGAGAGAGGAAGACACAGAATCCGAAGCAGGCTCCAGGCTCTGAGCTGTCAGCACAGAGCCTGACACAGGACTTGAACCCACGAACCACGAGGAGCCACCCAGGCACCCCTATTACATGCTTTTTTATAAATAAGTAAATAAGCGAGCTCCATGACAAAATTAGTTTTGAAGCCTTTTCATGTGTTTTGTACTAAAATAAAGATGTTCTAAAATTGAACAGTATTCAGAATAAAGAGAGGTAGGTAAGACAGAGCCGGTGTGGCATGGTAGATAAAAAAAAGTCTCTGGAGCCTCAGTGCCTGGGTTCGAGTCTCAGCTCTATCATGTACTATGTCTCTTAAGGGCAAGTTCCTTAATATTCTATGCTCCTTAGTTTTCCCATCTATAAAATGGGGATGGTGTTCATTCTTTCTCATGGAATTTTTGTAAAGGTGGAGCAAATACATGTCAAAGATTAGTAACAATGCCTGGTATTAATACAAATTCAATAGATATTGCCTATTATCATAGGTACCGGTGTAGAAAGATTCACGATAATAACAGACCAATAGACAGACGTTTAAGAGAACAGCGACCCGTTAACACACAGTAGGTGCTTGGAAAAAGACTAGTCTTTGAGGATAAATCCTTGTTTGGGTTATGAGGGTTCAGAAAACCACTGAGCTGCCTCTGTGGGTGTGGGAATGAAAAGAGGTCTTCTAAGAACTGAATTCCTGTCTCTTGACCCCCGGCCCTTCCTGCGTATTCACTAGACCTTGTCGAAACTTCTTCGTTCCTCCAGGTCTTGCTTTCTCATATACGAGGTGTGAGTCTGTTTTCCCTAAATACCTAGTAACACTTCTGTGAGGATCCAAATAGAAAGGAGATCATTAAAACGCTCTGTCAGCTAGACCGGTGTGAGGCCCAGCCCGGTGGTGCTCAGATTTTCTCATGCGTGAGGATCGCCACGGAGAGATTCTCACTGAGCAGTTGTGAATTGTTTTCTCTTTTGTTTTTTTTACTGCTTATTTATCTTGGAGAGAGAGAGCGTGCGTGTGTAAGTGGGGGACCGTGAATCCGAAGCCAGGCTCTGCTGCACTGACGGTGGTGAGCCCAATGTAGGGCTTGAACTCACGAGCTAGGAGATCATGACCCGAGTCAAAGTTGGATACTCAACGCCCGGAGCCACTCAGGCGCCCCTCAGCAGCTGAGGATTCTTATTTTTTATTTTTTTTTTTTAATTAACATTTATTTATTTTTGAGACAGAGACAGAGCATGAACGGGGGAGGGTCAGAGAGAGAGGGAGACACAGAATCGGAAGCAGGCTCCAGGCTCCGAGCCATCAGCCCAGCGCCCGACACGGGGCTCGAACTCCCGGACCGCGAGATCGTGACCTGAGCTGAAGTCGGACGCTTAACCGACTGAGCCACCCAGGCACCCCAGCAGCTGTGAATTCTAATTCTGTATTCTGAGTACGTGTCCTGGTGCCAGGGTCTAGAGACTTTACCCAGAAATCCTGGAAGTCACTGTTCTGTCCGGACGCATGGCCTGAAACTCCAGTTTAAATGCTGCAGATTTTGAAACAGTAGATCTGCACTGGCAAGGGCCAGAAATAAAAGGTTATTACTAATTCAGACTATCAAGTCAGAGACTCAGGTCTCACCCCCGAGCTGGCTTTGAAGCCTGACTTTACCATTTACCAGTTACGTGCTCTGGCTCATCTCAGAGCCTCAGATTCCTCATCTGTAAAAGATTTATCACATCCACCTGTTAGTTGTGTTTTATTAGAGGTACCGTCTGGAAAGCCTACTTCAGGGGCGCCTGGGCGGCTCAGTCAGTTAAGTCCTACTCTTGATTTCAGTTCAGGTCGTGATCTCATGGTTTGTGAGACTGAATCCTGCGTCAGGCCCTGCACTGACAGCACGGAGCCTGCTTGGGATTCTGTCTTCCTGTACCTCTCTCTCTGCCTCTCCCCCTTTCCCCCTCCCTCACAAGGGAGGGAGGGAGGGAGGGAGGAAGGAAGGAAGGAAGGAAGGAAGGAAGGAAGGAAGGAAGAAAAAAAAAGGAAAGACAAAATCTACCTCAGTCCCCAGCTATGGCCCTCAATAAACAAGTGCTATCCAAAGATCCCAGAAATTCCTATTGCACAGGTTCTGGAGTCTGGCTATTTCAGAGGCATGCTTGTCGAAAAGAAATTATTTAAAACTGTGTCTAATCCCCCCCGCCCCGATATTTCATTGATGCCTATTTTCCTATGGCAAGGTTGTTTTGCCAGGTGTCTGACCAAAAAATGTCCTAGGATTGTGGCTTAATCAGGCATTTTGATAATACATAAGGAAACCCTGTTTTCCGTGCGGTCCTGGCATTCAGTGAAAAAGAATAATTAATGCAGGTACCATGTCCCATCTGTAAAGCCGGCGGGGGGGGGGCCGGGCCACAAGCAGTCCTTTCTGCCTGTGACAGCTTCATGGCCCAGCCCCTTTTCCTTAATGAGCTCGTCAGACATGCAGTGTTTCACCGTAAAGCCAGTGATGAGCCTGCCTCCCAGCTACAAGGACAAACCAGTTCCAGAGCAGATCTTAAAGTAAGGAGGGGCTCTTTTGGTTTGTTTTTAGAAGCATTTTTTTTCTCTGACACACTTGATCTAGAAGTACCTCAACACCAAAGCCTTGAACTCATTACAGTTTGGAAAACCTTCTGTTGTCTTAAACCTCTGGAGCTGCTCTAACAGGATACCACATACTGGGTGGCTTATAAACAACAGACATTCATTGCTCACAGTTCTGCAGGCTGGGGAGTCCAAGGTCAAGGCTCCAGCGGATTTGGTGTCTGGTGAGGACCTGCTTCCTGGTTCACAGACATCGACTTCTTGCTGTGTCCTCACGTGGCAGAAAGGGTGATGGATCTCTCGGGTCTCTTACAAGGGCGCTAATCCCATTCAAGAGGGTAGAACATAAGCACTTACCACGGAGGCTACTTCCTAATACCATCATGTTGTGGGGGGGTGGGGGGGTGTTAGGATTTCAACATATGCACTTGGGGGGAACCCAAGTGTTCAGACCACAGCAACTGTTTATTTTCAGTATAAAATATGAGCTTGGTAACTCGAAGGGATTTGGGGCAGGTGGGGTGGGGGTTGGGGTTTTTTTTTAAGCAGAGGGAGATCAAGAATTTCACTGTTAGGTTTTGGATCTCCTGGATCTCAATTCCACCCGGGAAGCACTCACTTAGGAGTGGCTGACCTCACCTTGCGTGGTGGGTTCCCCAGTGATCACAGGTCCCGGTCTTTTTCCTCAGAAGCTAAAATATTAGAAGGATTGCTAGAACTGTGATAAAACTATTACAAATGCGATCACAAACGTGGATACAAGTACATACGCCTTTTTAAATGGCGAGCTGTGGAATGGATCCGTAAATAAGAAAATTAAGATGTGCAATAAAATGTGCACCCCCCTGCCGCCTTCCTTATGAAGACTGTGTCTGTTTTGAGATCGCTTAGGGGATAAGACTCGGTCTGTGGAAGACGCGGCCCAGGGCTTATTTGAAGTTTGCTCAAGGAGCGCTTGTTCTAAGAGAAACTCCAGCGTTGTGGCGATGTCTCTCTCTCCCCAGCTACTACAGAGCCAATGAAGTACAACAATTCCAGTATTCCCGGCCATTCCGGAAAGGAGAAAAGGATCCAGATAATGAATTTGCTGTGAGTCCACCCACTTTGCCCTCTAAAACAAGGTCAAGTTGCCATCCAAATGGAGGCTTTCCACCTGACCGGCACAGACAGCAGAAATGATGGCAGCCCGAGGGGTAGAGGTTCTACGTGCTTACTGCATAGACAGCAGGCCAGCTCAGTGGAAAGCTCTAGGCTGGCACCCATCCAAAAAAAGGGGCTCTACCGTGGGGCTCCGATGTTGCGTTGAGTATGATTGGAGCAAGTCACGCCTCTTTGGACCTCACATTTCCCCTCTAGAACGTGAGAGGGCCCAAGTAGATGATCCCTTGCAGCTTTAAACATTTTGATGCCCATTCACTAAGGAAGCATTTGAGAACAGAATCTCACTGAACTCAACCCTGGCCACTTTGGCCTGGGAACTGACCCTTCCTATTGTCTTTCCTTCCACCAGACCATGTGGATCGAAAGGACCACGTATACGACTGCGTATACCTTTCCTGGCATCCTCAAGTGGTTTGAAGTCAAACAGATTTCAACGGTGAGTCACTTGGAATTGGGATTCAGAAAAGTCTTTTGTGTCTCCAAATATAATAAGGGCCTTTGTTAAGTGCCCCTCCGGTTCTCACTAGGCTGGCCAGCCTCCTCTGGCCAACTTTGTTTTCCAGAAGAGAAATAAAAGGCATGCTTGTGTAATAGAACTCCTCTGTAAAACTGATGTTACAAACCAACCCTAAAGGTTACTCACAGTGAATGACTCTTTTATGACCAAACGAGTCTTGTCTCCTCATAATCCCACCAAGCGCCCCAAACCATTTGCAGAACGTCTCCTTGGAGTTTCCTGCCAATCAGATTCTTCTCTCCCAAAACATTTCCTCTTCTTTCATTCGTGGCTGATCACATCTACCAGTCCCCCCACGCTCTCCCTTCTCCAGCATTCCCGAAGCTGACCCTTTTACCTTCTTAATATTTATTAAATCTGTTTGTTTGTGTGTTTGTTTGTTTGTTTTCCAGCTCTCCTAATGTACCCTGTTTTAGTCCCTCATTCATCTCTGGTGGATGCCACGGAAAAAGCCCCCTCATTGGGCTCCTGCTTGGGCCTTCACAGGCTTGTTTTCCACACTGTCTCAGAGTGTGAGTTTCCACAGTGGAAAGCTGAGCGTATCATTCTCATGCTCAAAACCTTGCCGTGGCTCCCCCGTGCCTAGAGCATAAAGCCCCTGCTCCTTAGGACACACATGCAGAATCTTTGTGACTCGGTTCTGCCACCTCATCTCTTCAGGAATCTTCTGGAACGAAACTGCTCATTCCGTGCTATTTCAACCCTCCTTGATGATGCAGCATTTTCTCTGCCCAAAGTGCTCCTTCTCAACCTAACTAACTCCCACTGAAATTCAGTTAGGTACCTGCTTCGCCAGGAAGCCATCTCTGAAACTCCCAGTTGGGATTAGATGCCCTTTCTCTGTGCCCCGTTGCAACCGGGTTTATTTCTTTACTTTTTTTTTTTAACGTTTATTTATTATTGAGAGACAGAGCATGAGCACGGGAGGGGCAGAGAGAGAGGAAGACACAGATTCTGAAGCAGGCTCCAGGCTCCGAGCTGTCGGCACAGAGCCCGACGTGGGGCTCGAACTCACAAACCACAAGATCATGACCTGAGCCAAAGTCGGACGCTTAACCGACTGAGCCACCCAGGCGCCCCAACCCGGGTTTATTTCTAACAAGTTAACTACCATGCTTACGTGTCTTGAGACGCCACTAAAACCGTAGGCTCCTCCCCACCATGAATTCTGTCTTAATCACTTTTGTAACTGTAGAGCATAGCCCGGTACTTGGCATGAAATACACTTTGAGGAAATATATCCTGAACAAATCTGAACGGAAATCCGATGTCTTCCATGCCACTAGTAATAATATCGGTGTCCCTCAAGTGTGAATATGATTTTTGGACAGAGACTTTTGGAATCAGGCTGTGGTAAGAGGTCAATTGTCTGGCAGTGGCTAAAATGAAGAATGCGGGTTTTCTTGAAACCTGGCTTTGAACACTTGCCCACAGGAATTGCTTGAACCTATATTGAATCTTAATTTCATTTTCGTCCCAGATTCAGCTTGGATACTCTTTGTTAACTTTAATGTTTGTTTGTTTATTTTGAGACAGAAAGAGCACGTGTGAGCAGGAGGGGCAGAGAGAGGGAGAGAGAGAGAACCCCAAGTGGGCTTTGCACGATTAGCACGAAGCCCGGGGGCAGGGCTCGATCTCACAAACCATGAGATCGTGACCTGAGCCAAAATCAAGAATCAGACGCTTAACGGAGCCACCCAGGTGACCCCAGCTTGGATATTCTAATACATCCCGTTATTTCTGGCTGCTTCTGACCACAGAACCCATACTAAGGTGACTTAGGTATGGTTTGAATGTGTGGCTTCCAAAACTTACCTTGGCTTGTGGCAGAAACATCGAGCCCCTTGCCAGTGAACTTTTGGGACGTTGCAGAAGTATCTTGGATCAGATATCCTGCTACTGTCTTGTCACTTATCTTCTCAGAAATATCTGAGGAAGCTTTGCCTAAAAGGCCCTCATTATTACATCTACCTTTTTTTCCCTCCCCAGATTTCTGGTAGACCTTTTGCCCCAAGAAATGATCACTACTATAGCTCTAATTTTTAGGTCATCCTTGTGCTTTCTAAGGACATTTTAAGTAGTTTACTTCACAACTTAGCAAGACCATTTCAAGTAAGTGTGGGATCCAAATAGACATAACCTTGACAAGCACAACTTTACTGTTTTATAGCCTGGTGAGAATTTTAAACCTTTTAAAAGGAACACTTAGGGGGCGCCTGGGTGACTCAGTGAGTTAAGCATCTGTCTCTTGATTCCGGCTCAAGACATGACCTCACAGTTCGTGAGTTCGAGTCCCACATCAGGCTCTGCACTGAGCACACGGAACCTGCTTGGGATTCTCTCTCCCTCTCTCTCTGTCCCCAGCCTCTCAAAATAAATAAATAAATACTTTTAAAAATAAAATGAGAGGAACACTTAGGATTTTTTCAAAACTTGCTGTGAATTCACAAAATGCCCTTTCACTCCCTTGTCCACTATCGCAGGAAGAAATCAGTCCCCTGGAGAATGCCATAGAAACCATGGAACTCACCAATGAGAAGATCAGCAATTGTGTTCAACAACACGCCTGGGACCGGACCCTCTCTGTGCATCCTCTCTCCATGCTGCTCAGTGGCATCGTAGACCCGGCTGTCATGGGAGGATACTCCAACTATGAAAAGGTGGGCTCGGCCCTGGAATCCCCACTGAATCCCATGTCATTCCGTGCCTCTCGCCCTGTGGCTCTGTGCGGCTGGTGCATTAGTTTCTTACGACTTGGCTGAGAGAGTTTTTCACTGTGCCCTTTTTACGAATGAGCAAATGAAATTAATGAAAAGCTGATCCCTGACCTCACACCTCCTAGAGATCCTCAGCAGCTCAGGCAGGGTTGGGCCACTGCCTGATACAGAGTCACTGACAGATCAATCTAACATACCATCTCTGGTTGATTTACCTGTTGTTCCCTCTCCCTTTCTCCACCGAAAAGTAGAAAGCTTACAGGCGGCCCCAGAGGTAAAGATGCTCTAGAACTGAAGAAGCACCCGTGGGAAAGGCAGAACTGTGCTCGCTCTAAAATTGGCTTCTAGGGGCACCTCGGTGGCTCAGTTGGTTAAGTGTCCAACTTCGGCTCAGGTCATGATCTCACAGCTCATGGGTTGGAGCCCTGCTTCAGGAACTGTGCTGACAGCTCAGACCCTGGAGCCTGCTTTGGATTCTGTGCCTCCCTCTCTGCCCCTCCCCCACCCACCCTCTGTCTCTGTCTCTCTCTCTAAAATAAACATTAAAAAAAATTGTGTTTGGGGCGCCTGGGTGGCGCAGTCGGTTAAGCGTCCGACTTCAGCCAGGTCACGATCTCGCGGTCCGTGAGTTCGAGCCCCGCGTCAGGCTCTGGGCTGATGGCTCGGAGCCTGGAGCCTGTTTCCGATTCTGTGTCTCCCTCTCTCTCTGCCCCTCCCCCGTTCATGCTCTGTCTCTCTCTGTCCCAAAAATAAATAAACGTTGAAAAAAAAAATTAAAAAAAAAAAAATGTGTTTAACGGAGTTAATGTATCCAACATGTAAAAAAACATGCAATTAATGGAGGCAAGATTTTTAATTATTCACTATGTGTCCAGTGGCTAAGTAATTTTGGAGTCCTCTTGCTGAATATAAACAAACATTTGGCTACTACACTCCTGTGGAGTAGCCGGGAGAGTGAGTGGAAAGAAAAGGAGATGAACGGGAAGGGCGAGTGGTTATTAGGTGGGCTGATTCTGTTATTTCCATTTATACACAATGTCCTGAGAAGACCAGGGGCTTTAGAATCAGTCATTCCTGTGACCCAATCCCAGCTTCCCATTGGCCACCATGTGCTCTCGGGTGAGATACGTCACCTCTTTGAGCCCCAGCCTTCGTACCTCTTTGAGCCCCAAGCTTCGTACCCCAAGCAAATGAGGAAAATGCCTACCACACAGAAGCGGCTGGACGCTTATCTTGTATATAAGGAACATCGCAGAACACTTGCCTTATAGTTGAGGCTTGGTCGGTGTTGACTTCTTCCTCTCTCCTGTCTGCTTGGAGACAAAGGTGATCTGAACGGGCAGTGCTCTGCGGCTGTTGCTATAACAATCTTCTTTTTTCTCCATTCCCTTCAACCTTTCAGCCTTCAGAATCACTACACCTAGCAGCTGGGAAAGACCCAACACCAGAGATCAGTTCTAGTTTGCCCGTGCTTAGTGTTGATAATAACCTCCAGTGTTATCATGGAATTCAATACAAAACTAGGATCCAGAATATAATCCCTTTTTTTTTTTATATAACGTTGTAAGGATTGTGGTGGGTTTTTGTGTCCTGTAAACTATCTAGTACTAATTTCGATGTGTTTTTCCAAGTGTTGTTTTTTTTTTTACAGCATGGCCCTGTTCGAATTCAAATTCGTATATGCCAGTAGTCTGTGAATAGTATGTAATTTCCTATGAAGTTTTTTCCAATGTCAGAGACTTCTAATTTAAAAAAATTTTTAAAGGGGAAGTTGGTTACGTACACAGATAGATTTCAAGACTTTTAAAAATACTAAATTGCACTTTTAATTAATATGGTATGCATTTGTATATTTTGAAGCGTAAGAAAAAAGGTAAATTCCTTGATCGCCATGACCCCCATGGCAATTAATTGGGGAATCTATCATCACCTACCAATACAGGTGACCTATCTTTTTTTTTTTTTTTTTCAACGTTTATTTATTTTTGGGACAGAGAGAGACAGAGCATGAACGGGGGAGGGGCAGAGAGAGAGGGAGACACAGCATCGGAAACAGGCTCCAGGCTCCGAGCCGTCAGCCCAGAGCCCGACGCGGGGCTCGAACTCCCGGACCGCGAGATCGTGACCTGGCTGAAGTCGGACGCTTAACCGACTGCGCCACCCAGGCGCCCCCAGGTGACCTATCTTAAAGCAGCCCATTAGTCACTGCCGGAATTCATCAGCCCTTTTCTCTCGCAAGGCAGGACTCTTCGAAAAAAAAAACGGAATTTCAGGGCACTCTGCTGCAGTGGTCCTTGACTCAACCAATGTTCTGGGAATCTCAGTGCCTTTCATCTTACATCAAAAAGTCGTTTTTAACTTTTGAAGATTCAAACTGCTTCTGTTTGGAGGGTGAAAGTGGATGAAGATTAAAGCCATACTACTTTTTCATTCATTTCTCCCTAACTATGAATCCGGCTACAGGGTGTGTTCTCCAGATGTGCTGTCCTGCTTCCTGTTTGTGATACTCAGCCTGCATATATTTATAGCCCTTGTGGTGTTAGTTTGCTAGGGCCGCTGGGACAAAGGCACAAACAGGGTGACTTCAAACACAGTCCCGGAGCCCAGTAACCTGAAATCCGGCATCAGCAGGGTTGGTGCCTTCTGAGGGCTGTGAGGAAGGATCTGTTCCCTGCCTCTCTCCTAGCTTCTTTTTTTTAAAAAAAAATTTAAATGTTTTATTTATTATTTTTGAGAGAGAGCGAGAAGTGGGGCAGGGGCAGAGAGAGAAGGAGACACAGAATCAGAAGCAGGCTCCAGGCTCTGAGCTGTCAGCACAGAGCCCAACACGGGGCTCGAACTCAAGAACCGTGAGATCATGACCTGAGCCGAAGTTGGACACTCAACCGACTGAGCCACCCAGGCGCCCCAGCCTCTCTCCTAGCTTCTGAGGGGTTGCTGGCAATCTTTGGCACCCCTTATCCCTCTTCACGCAGCGTTCTCCCAGTGTCCAACCTTCCCCTTTCTATAAGGGCATCAGATACGTGGAATCGATGGTTCGTCCTACTCCACTGTGACTCCACTCTGACACTCCATGGTGACCATAACTACACCTGCAATAATCCTGTTTCTAACTAAGGTCACATTCTGAGGTACCGGGGCTAGGACTTCAACATATGAATGGGGGCGGGGAGGAAGCCAGTGTTCAACCCATAACATCTTCATGCAAGGTTGAATTTGAACATGCTCTATGTTCCATACCAAATGGGCTGGTCGCTGATCCCTTTTTTTTGCTGTTTTTTTTTTTTTTTTTAAACTGTGTCCTGTAGTTTCAGGAGCTCTTGAGTCTACCTACAGGTTGAGGTGACTTCCATAGTATTGGAACAGAAGAGTGAAGGGAACTTTGAGGGTTGGTCTTTGAAAGCACTCTTAGAAATGATGGCTACGGTACAAGGAAAAAAAAAAGTTTTCCTGTTTTGACTTTGTTAGAAATGTTCACCACAGGCTTTTTAATTTTTTTTCCTCATTCTGTCTTACTTGTTTTATTTTATTTCTTAGTGTTTTCTTTATTTATTTTAGAGAGAGAGAGAAAGTGCGAGCAGGGGATGGGCCCAGGGAGAGGGGGACAGAAGTTTCGAAGCAGACTCTGCACTGTGAGCGCAGAGCCAGATGTGGGGCTCGAACCCATGAACCGCAAGATCATGACCTGAGCCCAAGTCAGACGCCTAACCAACCGAGCCACCCAGGCACCCCAATTTTGTCTTTAAAAATGGTCTCTTCTGTAAGATCTACGATTATAATTTGAGTTTGGGTTTTGTTTCACTATTAGAGGGACTTAGCCCTTGGGACCATGAATGTTGATTGACAGTGTTACATGTGACATGGTTTTGACGTATAGTAAGACGCAACGCAAACTGCATTTACTATTTACGAGACATTTTTGTGTGCATTTAATATTTGTGAAACATTGTCCTCAAAAGAGCCTTCTGGATCGATGAGAACTAAGAAGGTGTGGATATTAATCTTCCCTCAGTATAGGGGGGAAAATGTGATACAGCTTATAGCAGCAGGAAAACTATCAGGCATATCCAGCCTGTTAGTTTTTTGCTTTTTCCTTTATAATATCCGTGCACTTAATCTCCTGAACAGCCTTCAGATATTGGCATTGGCATTGGTCCTTGGGGCAAGTTCTTTCAATGAATGCCAGTCTGCTGTGCTGCTGATTATTTGGTTTGTGCCCTTGTGTGTGTCTGGTGATCGTTGAGAAGGTGCTTGGATTAGGGATTGCCCAATTCCAGAAAGACCGCAAAAGAGCACATACCTTTAGAACCGTCCACGGTGGCAGAAGCGCTGTCCCAGGTAAGGAAGGAGGATTGCCTTAGTCATCTCTGGTTTATCAGCTAGAACAAGACATTTGTCCCCCTTCCAGGCTCCCCTCCCCTCCCTCTAGGGTCAAATACACAGATGGGGACGTGTTCTAATTAATGCTCTCCTGTGCCCCGTTTTTAGGCTTTTTTTACGGAGAAGTACTTGCAGGAACATCCAGAAGACCAGGAGAAGATTGAGCTGCTGAAGCGACTGATAGCATTACAGGTGTGCTCCTAGCGACATGTATGGCCAGACAGCGCTCGCTCGCTCGCTCTCTCTCTCTCTGTCTCTACTTTAGTGACCAGTGAGAGAAAATGCAGCCATCCCACCCAGTCTAGCAGGGGCTTATCCACAGACGTGCTCCCCGGCTCGGGAGGGTTTGCCTTTTCTGTCAGCCCTTCCCCAGTCACGGGCCTGCTTGTATCCTTGTGTATTTCTCTGAGCCCTTGACCCCAGGGTGGCCGGTGCCCAAGCCCTACACTGACACGCAGCTTTCTCATTCGATACGTGCTGTTCTACCAGTTTACCTGTCCACCTTCACCCCCATCCCTCCCCAGCCTCCCAATCTGAAAAAAATCCCCTTTCCTAAACCGTGTCTCCTTCCTTTCATGCCCCTTTCTTCCCAGATGCCCCTGCTGACGGAGGGGATCCGCATCCACGGGGAGAAGCTGACAGAGCAGCTAAAGCCACTGCATGACCGGTTGTCGTCTTGTTTCCGGGAGCTCAAGGAGAAAGTGGAAAAGCTCTACGGCGTTATAACACTGGTAGGCTTTGTCTAAGGAGCCCGTTGACTTTCTCAGCCTCTTTACCGGTTATGATGTTGATCAGGTTTTCAGTTGCCAGATGAGTCCAAATAGCAGAGGTGTGGCAGGAAAACACGGGGGACGGGTCTGGAGAAGACGTGATGTGCTGTTGGTGACCTTCCGCAGTTGACATACTAGATAGGGGTTCTCGGACTTGAGTGACCGTCCGAACCACCTGGAAGGCTTACGAAAACACAAATTGCTGGGCCACATCTCCAGAGCTTCCGATTCAGGAGGTCTAGGGTGGGGTGCCCAAGGGTTTGCATTTCTTTCTTCCTTTCTTTTTTTTTTTTGTAATTTTTTTTGTTAACGTTTATTTATTATTGAGAGACAGAGAGAGACAGAGCATGAGCAGGGGAGGGGCAGAGAGAGGAGGAGAGACAGAATCCGAAGCAGGCTCCGGGCTCTGAGCTGTCAGCCCAGAGCCAGACGTGGGGCTCTAGACTCACAAACCGCAAGACCATGACCTGCGCCGAAGTCGGACGCTTGACCTACTGAGCCACCCAGGCACCCCGAGGGTTTGGGTTTCTAACGTGCTCCCAGTGGGTGCTGATCCTGCTGGTCTGGGACCATAGTGTCCGGGCCACTCTACTAGCATTTGGGAGCATTGCTGGTCCCAGATGCTGGTTATTACTGTCCCGTTTAGCCCAATTCTTAGTGTTTTTCCTAGCCTTTATTCCTTTTTTATTTTGACGAAAAGTTGACATTCTTCGCACCTCTGAAGGGGAGAAAGAATCGTGAAGTTCATTTTGCAGTGCAGATAGTGATTTCGTCATTTGTTCCGACAGTTCTGACACATCTCTCCCCACAGTGTCTTTGTGCCCGAGAAGTTGGGTGGATTGATGCGCGCGCTCAATAAGCTTTTCTGTCTGGGGCACGTGGCTGATTCAGTCGGGAGAGCGTGCGACTCTTGGTCTTGGGATCATGAGTTCAAGCCCCACACTGGGCATAAAGATTACTTAATAAAAAGTAAATAATACCTAATTTTTCTCTGCAACAATTGACTGAATGCCTGGATCCAGCTTCATTTTTCTGCTCTTTTTAATGAGAGTTCGTTCACCTTGCTCTCTTTAACTGTCTTACTCTTGAACTCCCGATTTTCCGATCCTCTTTCCTTGAATCAAAGCTCCGCATTTCTTTCCGTGTAGTCCTGTCTGCCATTCCCACACCTCCACCGCCGCTACCTTTTTCTCCTGAGCGTCTTTGTAATCATTGCTTTCAGTCATCCAAGGGTTCGGTTGTGCCTAACTTCCTAGCCTACCACCCCTTAAGAGCTTTCTTCTAGGAACGTTTGTCTTTTATGTAAGTTCCAAGGGGAAGGATGTGACTTACACCTATTTAAGTCGTTTTTATTAGATCCAGGCCAATATTGGCATGTAAATTTGATATGGTGGCCAATTGGGGCGATCAGCCCAACTGAAGACCTCTCTTAATGATAGTAAATTGATGCTCCTTTACTTAAGAAAGATTCACCATTTACATGTTAAGCGTCAGGTCTACAGTATCATCTGAAAGTTTCTATTAGGCCAGTATTTTTACCTTTTTAGCGGCTGAAAGAAGATAAACTGGAGGAACTGGAGAAGCAGACAGAGGGTTTTGCTATTCTTGTGGGGGGTAATGAACAGCTCGGTTTTTCTTCTCACATGGCTGACAACAAATTATGGGGAATTCTTCTCTAAGTCTTAGAAACAAGGTAGACTTAACCTAATTGTGCTCATAATTAAGAATACAAGTACTTGCAGGGTGCCCCGTGGCTCCGTCAGTTACGCATCCAACTCTGGATTTCAGCACAGGTCATGATCTCATGTTTTGTGAGTTCGAGCCCCGTGCCTGCTTCTGCACTGACAGCACGGAGCCTGCTTTGGATCCTCTCCCTCCCTCTCATTCTCTGCCCCTCCCCTGATCAGGGCTCATTCCGCCCCCCTGCACCAGTAACCACGAGATGCTCTGCGTTCCTCAGCCACCCAACTTGACTGAGCGGAAACAAAGCCGCACGGGATCCATTGTACTACCCTACATCATGTCGTCTACGCTGCGGAGATTGTCCATCACCTCGGTGACTTCCTCTGTGATTTCCACCTCTTCTAACTCATCCGATAATGCTCCTTCCAGACCGGGATCTGATGGGTAAGAGTCTGATTTTTAATTGCCAGGGGAGGCGGGGGGGCTGGATTATCTCCTTACTGACCTTTGCCTTTTGTCACCAAAGGGAGACTTGGTCAATGTAGATGCATCATCCTCATGAGGGAAATAATCCGGAGTCTGTGGTTATAATCCTGTATACCATTCCCGTCGCCTTCCTCATGAGGAAGATCATTATTTTCCATATTATGTACATAACGATAATAGTTAAGAAAAAAAGGGATAATCATCACCTATAATCCTATCACATCCTATCAGCCACCCTATCACATTCTGAATTATTTTTTTTTCATATTATAGTCATTGTTTGAGTGTCTTTCCACCTGAATCCGTTTTCAAAAGTCATCTTAAAATTTACATTTATGTTATAAATCAGCAATATAATTACATGGTACGGAACTCCAAGGCACTAGAGGGATATGTCGGGAGGCATCACCCATCAGTCCTTAACTCCTGTCCTACCAGTACCGCTCTCCTGAGGCAAGTGGTGTTGGCCTGCAGGACCCTGGTGCCTTTCCAAGCTCTTTCGACACACACGAGCAATACCTAAATGTATGTTCTTCCCCGCACTTTCTGCTTATATTCAATGGAAACATAGAATTCTTTCTTTACCTCGCTCTTTTCACTTACTGTGTCTTGAAAATCCTTCTGTTTCAGAATGTAAAGAGCCTCGTCTTTTCTCTGAGCTGCAGGCATCCCGTGGTATGTCTGCATCAGGATACATTCCACGGGTGTCTATTGATGGATGCTTAGTTGACCCCAGTCTTTCACTGTCGCAGCAGTGGGGCAGTGACTCACCTTAAAAATAATTTATTTCGCAAATACACAAGTATATCCGTGTGAGAAAAATTCCAGAAGTGAACTTGCTTTGTCGAACATCTATAGCTGCAGTTTTCAAAATTATTCCTGAACTGACTTCCGTAGACATAGACCAATTTGCAGGCCCCCCAGCAACATATAAGGGCGCCCCGTCACCCCCATCTGGCCTCCAGATTGTGTATTATCAGGCGTTTTAATTTTTTGCCAGTTTGATAAGTGGAGAGTATTTTCCTGGTATAGGAGTGTGGTTTGGTTTTATTTCTCTTGTTTTGTACGAAGCTGAGTTTTTCATTTTTTAGTAGCTGTATTTTATTTTCTGTGAACTATGGTCAAGTATTTGGGGTACACTTTTCTGTTGTGTTTTCTTTGTTCTGGGAGTTGAAATACACCTTCCAATTTCTCCTTTCTCTTTTGACTTTGTTTCTAATTTCTCATTTAGTTGTGCTGACATTTTTTATGCAGCGAAATAACTTAATGTTTGATTTTATGACTCCTGGGTTGTATATCATAATCAAAGGCCTGCCCCATTCTCAGGCTACAAAAAATTTTTTTTAAGTTTCACTATTCACCACTAAATCCGTGATTCTTTGAAATTTATTCTAGTATAAAGTGTGAGGTATGAAGTTAACTCTTTTTTTTTGGCTATACAGCAACCCTTTTCTCCCTATTACATTTTTTCCTCTACTGATTTGAAATGTCAACCTAGGGGCGCCTGGGTGGCGCAGTCGGTTAAGCGTCCGACTTCAGCCAGGTCACGATCTCGCGGTCCGGGAGTTCGAGCCCCGCGTCGGGCTCTGGGCTGATGGCTCAGAGCCTGGAGCCTGTTTCCGATTCTGTGTCTCCCTCTCTCTTTGCCCCTCCCCCGTTCATGCTCTGTCTCTCTCTGTCCCAAAAATAAATAAACGTTGAAAAAAAAAAATAAGAAATGTCAACCTAATTAAAAAATGAAATTCCTAGATGTTCTTTAGTCTACTTGTAGACTTTTCCCCCATTTCTTTGATCTCCCTATATGTTTATGAACTAGTACTAGGTAGCTTTAATTACTGTAGATTTAAAAGGCTTTTACTTTTGAATAGTCCTTTTCAGAATCTATCTAGCTAGTTTTACTCCTGCTCGCTTTTGGATTAACTTGTCTCGAATCCCATGGCTATTTTTACTGAGATCATGTTAAATTTCTGGACTAACTTTGGGAGGATTGATGGCTTTTGACACTGAGCCTTTCTTGCCAAAATCATGGAAGTGCCCTTCCATACGTTCCAATTGAAAATATTTTACAGGGATGAATTTATAATTGCATTCTTTCTGTTCAAAAATACTATTTAAAAAGATTTTACTAATTATATGACCCGTATATATACACGTAGAAATTTTTCAAAGTACTAGGAACTTAAGAGAAAAATGCTTATTATGTCATCACTCAGAAGTAACCACCGTTAACAGTTACCTATATAAAATTTTAAAAAGCATATGTACATTTGATACAATTGGAAAAGCATTGTGCATACCATTATGTGACGTGCTGCTTAATTTAACGTACATGATGAGTCTTTAGCAACATTATGTGTTTTAGAGTTAAATAGAAGTCCAGTTGACTCACCGTTTCATCTTAAATTTGTGATTCTGTATTGTAATAATCATACCACAAAAATACCCTGTCTAAACGGCCCCTCCCTGGAAATCACGTGTTTAATATTTCCTAAATTATCTATCCGTCCTTTTCCACTGGCAGATATTGTTACATAGTTGCAGTTACAGCACAGATATAGTTTGGTAAATTGTTTTTCTCCTTTATTATTTTATTATAAGCATTTTCCATGTTGCTGTGTTATTCTCATCTTCGATGGCTATTAACCATTGCGTCCCATGAATGTGCCCTAATTAATCCTCCCCCTACTATAGAATATTTAAGTTGTATCGTTATTTCTAAACAGGTAATCATCAAAGCTCATCATAAATTTAATATGAAAACAGTTAGCTTATATCAGTATAAAGTGCATTTCGATTATTAAGAATTGTACCAAACACGTGTCCTTACAGCTTTCTGGTTATTTAGGATACAGTCTCCTATCACTTCTTGGCCTTTTGGTTAAGACCAAGTGTAGGATGCATTTCTAGAAGTATACATTACCTAGTCAGAGGATGCAATTCATTACAATTCTGATGTCAAACAAGTACCAAGATGTAATGTCAGACGCAATAGAGTACTAGGTTATTTGCACTATTGCTAATCCTTAGCATTACTAAATATTAAATAATCCTTGATTCATTGACTTTGTCTCTTCTATGGGTTTTTTTTTCACGCCATAAAGAGACACTAACTACTTCGTGGAAAGCATAGAAGTTCTGTTCAGTAAGATACTTTTCTTACATAAACTGTCTCATTCAAAAAAGAAAAGGTTTGAAACAGCTGTTGAAAGTCAAAGACCCCATGATTGCTGATACCCTAGGGCAGTAAACAGAGAACAGGTGAGCGGGGTCCTTTTCTTGCCATGACCCAGTTTTAAGGTGGATTATTGATCTTGCCCAGATTTCCCCAGTGAGTAAGAAGTCACTGTACTGTTGTCTGACACTTATTTAGGATGTGTCTTTAAAGCAGCTCCAACTGATCCTCAGCTAATGACCCCGACTCTCCCCATTACCGATGTTATGTCACAGTATTCATGAACACTTTCATGGGGATTATTGGATGTGATGTCTATAAAGAGCCAGTTCTTTGTTGGTAAGAAGGTAGACCATATCCATCCTGTTTGGCATATGGGAGGCTTAGGCACAGAAAGAGAATTACTTTTGGAAACCCAGCTCGTGTTAAGGGGAAGCTGGAAGATTTACACAGAAGGCCAACTACGGGCTACCTGCTTAGAGCACCTGCCGAGTCGGGGCCCCAGAACAAAATTGTTTAGAAAAAATGTAATCTTTGATATTTCAGAAAAACCACTGAAGTAACCATTATAAGCAAAAAAATAACACAGACCCTGGGGGACCCCACCGTAGTTATTTTATGGTTTAGTGTGGTTCCTAATGAGGCCCTAGTGAAAACTCACATCTTTGACTGTTGGTCTAGTGACCCTCAGCCTTGAGTGTCAGTCTCTCAGGTGAAGTCATAATTGATTCCATAGAAGCTGGGGTGGTTGTTTTCTTTCTCCCTGACCAATTACTGTTTGAGGTGATTTTGTTTCTTTGTTTGTTTTGGCTTAGTCAGTTTTAAGAATAATTAGAGTCCTGGGGTGCCTGGCTGGCTCAGCCCAAGAGCGTACAACTCTTGATCTCGGTGTCATGAGTTTGAGCCCCATGGGGGTAGAGATTACTTTAAAAAAATAAAATAAAATCTTTAAAAGAAAAATGAGCAGTAAGAGTATTTTTTGGAATTGAGTTCTATGATATTTATTTAGTACAGATTCAAGGTAAGTAATAATGAGTGGCTTCCCCTTAAATATATGAGCAGTTGAAACACTACCAAAAAATTACAAACCCATGCATGCTGTCTTAAAAAAATAATAATAATAGAAAAGGAGAGAATAATTTGAAATCAGAAAAAGAAACTGCAGTCAACAGGCATTTCCCAGTGACTCCTTACTCAGACTTCCCTGGAACTTTCTCACCCTTTACATTCACAGAGCAAGGCAAACATACTTTGCAGAAAGGTGGACTACAGATGTCAAAATTTTTAAATGAGGGACACCTGGTTGACTTAGTTGAGCTTCCGACTCTTGATTTCGACTCAGGTCATGATCCCAGGGTCATGGGATTGAGCCCCATGTTGGTCTGCTTGGGATTCATTCTCTCTCTCTCTCTCTCTCTCTCTCCCTCTCTCCCTCTCTCTCGCTTTCTCCCTCTGCCCTCTTCCTGCCCTTTGCACACTCTCTCTCTCTAAAAAAAAAAATAAATAAAATTCTTATTAAAAATTTTTAAATGATTTAAGAAGCATATCAACCAAACACAGAGTGAATCCTGTTGGGGATCTTGATTCAAGCAAACCACTTCAAAAATTTATGAGAAATGTAAACAATGGATACTTGATGAAATTAAGGAATTATTTCATTTTGTAGCACTGATGATGGGAGTGTACTTATGTTATGCAGTAAGTCCTTGCCTGACTGAGGTATATACTAAAATACTTATAGATGGAATGAAATGCCATCTAAGAATCGTTTCCAAATGATCCAGTGAGGGACTCAGAATGTGACTTAGGTGAGCGTAAGAAACTAGACTGACCATGAGTTATCATTATTGACACTGAGTGATATATATATGGGAATTTATTATATATTCTCTTCTCTTTTTTATATGTTTGGAATTTTCTATTATAAAATGTGAAAAAGTCTTTGCCCCCTCCAAATACCTTGTCTTAATATTTATATATTTAATAGCTAGTGACACTAACTTTTTAAAATTATTTGGGTTTCTGTTTTCATGAAACACCTATTTATATCCTTTGAAAATTTTTAAAAATTGGGGCGCCTGGGTGGCTCGGTCAGTTGAGCATCCGACTTCGGCTCAGGTCATGATCTCACAGCTTGTGAGTTCGAGCCCCCCGTCAGGCTCTGTGCTGACAACTCAGAGGCTGGAGCCTGCTTCGAATTCTGCATCTCCCTCTCTCTCTGCCCTTCCCCCACTCACACTCTGTGTCTTTCTCTCTCAACAATAAAAATAAACAATAAAAAAATATGAAAAGTTTAAAAAATTGAACCCCTATTTTTCTTTTTGGTTTATAAAAGTTTCTTATATATTAAAGATATTTGGCATCTAAAATATGTCCAGCAAATAGTTTTAGTTGACTGATGATGCTTTTCTGCCAAATGAAAGCCTTTATTATTTTTTTTTAATTATTTTATTTTATTTTATTTTATTTTATTTTATTTTATTTTATTTTATTTATTTATTTTTGAGACAGAGAGAGACAGAGCATGAGCGGGGACGGGTCAGAGAGAGAGGGAAACACAGAATCCGAAGCAGGCTCCAGGCTCTGAGCTGTCAGCACAGAGCCCGACGCGGGGCTCGAACTCACAGACTGTGAGATCGTGACCTGAGCTGAAGTCGGACGCTTAACCGACTGAGCCACTCAGGCATCCCCATTATTATTTTTTTTAATACTAATAGCTCGTAGCTGTTTCTGTGTTGTCTTATTTCATACCACAGCTTTTGTGTGTGTGTGTTTTATGGACTTTTTTTTTTTGGAGCTTTTTTTTTTATGATTTATTTTATTTTTTAGAGTGAGAGACAGTACATAAGTGGGGGAGGGGGAGGGAGGAAGTCAGGGAGAGAGAGAGAGAGAGAGAGAGAGAGAGAGAGAGAGAGAATCTTAAAGCAGGCTCCACACTTAGCACAGAGCCTAATGCAGGGCTCCATCCCAGGATCATGAGATCATGACCTGAGCTGAAATCAAGAGTGGGACTCAACCAACTGAGCCACCCAGGCGCCCCTTAGAGCCATTGTAAATTCACAGCAAGATTAAGAAGAAAGCAGAGATTTCCCAGTAAAGTGTCCTCCCACACTGGCCCAGCCCCCAATATCATCAACATCCCCCACCAGAGTGGTATATTTGTTACCACTGAGGAATGCACACTGGCACGTCATAATCATCCAAAGTCCGTAGTTAACTTAGAGTTCCCTCTTGGTGTTGTAGTTCTGTGGGTTTGGACAGATGTATCATGTGTAATAACATGCGTTCACCATCGTAATATCAGACAGAATGATGTCACTGCCCTAAAAATCCTCTGTGCTCTGCCTGTTCATCCCTCCAAACTTTCTATTCTTATGGAGCAAAATCTATCAATTTTTAATCAAACCAAGGCTTACTAAATACCCATTCAGAAGCCAGAAGCAATACCCATCATAAAAGGTAAAATATCTTTTTTAACCCTGCTTGTTTTTACATTATCCCATAGTCATTCCCTCTGTCCCTGTCTCCCCCCAACCCCTACTCCACCATGGGAGAGTAGGTTGCATACGTGCTGTTTTAAGAACAATCATATCGTCTTCCAGAACTACGTACGACAGTCCAGCCCATACGTTCAGGAAGTCTCTCATCGATACAATACTTTAAGCTCTAACCCATATTCCTGTTCTGTCAGTGGTCCCTCCAATGTCTTTTATACTTAGTAACATCTGTTACAGGATCCAATAAGGATCCCATGTTGAATTTTTTTCTTCTTTAATCTGAAGCAGATTGGCCCCTCCTTATCTTGGCTTTCACACCGTTGACATTTTTGAAGATTACGGACGGGCCAGTTATTTTATAGGATTTCCCTTCATTTGGGAGATTGGGTTTGCCTTATTTTCCCTTGTGCTTAGGGTTCGGGTTATACGTTTTTGTATGATGTTTCCTTTTTAGGTATCATATCCAGAAGCACAGTATGTCCATTTGTCCCCCATTGGTGATGTTAATTGACTGTGTACGTGATGAAGGTTTTGACCATTTTCTTTTCCGTGTACGGTTACTATTTTTTTTCCCCTTTGTAGTTAATAAGTAACGTATGGGGAAATATTGTGAGACTCTCCCGTTTGTCCTCAAACTCTTGCTCTCTCTCCGTAGCATTCAATCGGGATTCTTGAATGAATTAGTTGTCACTATGGTTCTTGAAAAACCTGTCACTGTAGTAAAACCATTTCAGGAGGACACATATATACTAGGCACTTATTCTAAGCATTTTGTAGTAGCCTCGTGAGGTAGGTACTGTTAATGTCCCCGTTTAACAGGTAAGGAAACTGAGGCATGGAAAGATTATCTGCCCAAGATCACTCAAGAAGCAAGTGTAGGTAGGATTTCAGCACAGCTGGCTGTCCCTGGGGCATGTGTTATTATCCACTGCAGAAGGCTGCTTACTCATCTTTTACTGCATGAATTCTGTCTTTGCTTGTAAATATAATAAGACTTTCTCTTCCTGGGATAAGATGAATATTCAGAGAGGTTTTCCTCCTCTACTGTGACGGTTTCATTTCTGTACACGTATACCTTGAGATGTTTAATTGGCAATTCGAAATGCACATTTAGAGCCCGAGAAGGAAGTCACAGGTCAAGGTTAGATTGAGGGGGCATAACCCCTGGTCTTTCTGGAGCACATTTTGACTGTCGGGTGGTCAGTGTTTTGTGATTTTGCCCCTGTGCTCGGCCGATAGGTCAATCCTGGAGCCACTCTTGGAGCGCAGAGCTTCGTCAGGTGCCAGAGTTGAAGATCTCCCCCTCAAAGAGGACACGGAGAACCGGATCAGCAAGTTCAAGAGAAAAGACTGGAGCCTGAGCAAGTCCCAGGTCATTGCAGAGAAAGCATCAGAACCTGATCTGATGGTAAAAAAAACAAATGAATGAACGAACAAAAACGGGGGGTGGGGTAAGCAAACAAGCAGCAGAGGTTTGCTAGTGCTTTCCCCCGTAGCTGGGCACATCGCCGTTCACGTCACAGTTGGGAGTCACCAGGGGGGAGCCCGGCCGTGCCTCCTCAGGACCCAGCAGCCTGTGGCAACGTCAGATCTTAGACTGGGTGAGGAAAAAAGCACATATGGAGAATCTGAGTGTCTAAATCAGTGGTGCAAGACCTTGTACCCACAATGTAAACATGTGGGTTGATGCTTGGAGTTGTGGTTCTCACCACCATGTTCCATGAGTTGGTCTAAACACAGTCCTTTCTCCTCTCTTAACTTAAAAAAAAAAAAAAAAAAAAAAAAAAAAGGTGCTTTTTTTTTCTTCATGAGCCGCATCAAGGAAGGCAAGACCAGCCTTCCCTGAGAATCAAGATGGCTCATTTCCAACCTAAACAACATAATCCAACTGTGGTCACAATCAGGCTCGTGGCTGGCCAGAAAATAAGGCATGATTCAGTGATTCCCTGTGCTTGTCTTTGCCACGGTCACCACATGGCAGGGCGGCAAGCTCAAGAATGGCTCCTGGAATTGTTCCCTCTGACAGGCAAGATTGTTCAGAGCGTTGATGAGCTCAGCCTTTTTCACCATGAGAGTGCTTTGCTGTGTCCCCTCCCCCACCCCGACTAGGGCCCAGCCAGAAAAGCCCAAAGGCCAAAGAGTCTCCAGTTGTCGGACAATCGGCTGACGCCATTTCATGGTTCTTCGCCTCCTCAGCCAACACCCTTGAGCCCGCCTCCACTCACTCCTAAAGCTACCAGGACCCTAAGTAAGTTTTACATAGAGATAGATAGAGAGATGTAGCCGTATCCTTTATATCTGTTTTAGTAGGAAATAGAGTATGTTTATGGACCTGGGCAATTGTTAGCTAGAACAGCCACACTGTATATGAGATTATTATAAAGTTGATTCATTCCGTGGTGGGTGCTATAGGTACAATCAAGAGTTTGAGAAGGAGTGTGTGGGTTGTTGGGACTCGTTAACCTTCTCTGTATAGTGACCCAGAGGGTCTCACTACTCCATTTCCAGTTGTGAAGGTATAAATGAGATAGAGTCAGATGGGGACCAGACAGGAAGCAAGTAACTTACAAACTATTGGGTCGATATCCCTGTACTTTGTATAGGAGAGGATCCCCAAAAAGGACAAGAAATAGACCTGTTCTATATACCATGTACAGTCAGGCCTGGGGAATCAGCAATAACACAGTGCCTGAGAAGAATGACAAGGTATCCTTGGTAAGAAGAATGGAGGAGTAAATCATTGTGCCACATGGGACATAATAGTCCATCAAGAGTTAGAGATAATTAGGTTAAGGTTTCCTGGAGGAAATGGATATTGCGCCGTTCAAATGATACAACTAAGTTCAGTTCAATTTAACCGATACTTATCGACCACTTACTTTGTGACATTTTTTCCTAAGCCCTTGGGAAATATCAGAGAATAGAGTAACACCATAAGTTCTAGAAAATGTCTTTATCTCCAGCGTAATAGTAAAAAACCCTGAACAAAAAAAATGGGATTTTTACTTCAGAACTTCGTGTGAAGCCTTCTGGTGAGTAAACGGCGCTACATTTGTCATGTACGGGGCCAGAGATCTTTTCCATTCTGGCCACGGAAACCATAGCCTATGATCTTAGCAGTTCGATTGACCAGGTTGAGGGGGTAGAATGGCAAGCAGAGGTTCTATAAGATGCCTTGATGAATTCTTCTCTCTGCCTTCATCGACTTGTATCATTTCTAGGCTCGCCATCTTTGCAGACAGATGGGCTGATGACTTCTGGTGTCCCGCCTCCCCCTCCCCCCAAAAGCAAGCCCTATGAGAGCAGCCAAAGGAACTCCACAGAGGTAGGGAACACCGGCCGGCCCTGGGGTCAGAGAACACCACTCGTGGGAATGCAGGGTCGGTTTTCCCAAGCTTTTTACTGGGCAGGTTTCCCAGAGATGTGTCACTCTCATCAACTCTTGATTCATTCCTGAAACCATAAAAACAGGGGAGTTTGCAGTGGGAAGTAATGAAATCCAAGTAGACTTTTTCATCAGACTGAAGGTAGAGGTTTTCTCTGTACGTCACTGTGGGCACGGGCGAGTGACCCAAGACGTGAGTTCGGGCTCACATTTGAAGAGTTTACTCCTTCTGAGTGAACGGAATGACCTCTGATGAAGTTTCCTTTGTTCATTCAACAAATATTTATTGAGTACGTACCGTAGATGTGCCAAGAGCCCTAGTGTTGGGGACGTAACATTTTGGTGAATATCTTGATAACTCAAAGAGGACAAGGGAGGATAAATCAGCCTTCTTTCCCTTCTTGCCTGTGTAGACAAACTCAGATCAGTTAGAAGCTAAAGCACAATGTCAGAAATGTGGCGGAGAAGGCAGGTTAGGAAAAAAGGGAAGACTCATTTGGTTCTTGTTGTGTCTGTTCCCTCAGATTGCTCCCCCACTGCCCATCAGAAGAGAAGCCAAAGTCCCACCCCCACCACCTCCAAAAACTCGGAAATCTGGCTTGCTTTCTTCTGAGCCTGGATCCCAATAAGGATCTTGTCCCCTCTCTCTCTGGAACTCCTGAACACCTTGAACACCTGATGCCTGAGAGGTGAAACTGTCCTCACTCCCTGGGGCCCCTTGCTGACCACCTTTCCTGATCCGGGGTCAGGTTCACCAGCTCCGAACTGGTTGGTCTTCGAAAGGCTTCTCTTTGGTAGAAGCCTAAGGCCACGCCGCCTCTCCTCCATTCCACGTGGAATTCTAAAATTGGCCGTGTCCTGTGTGTCTCTCAAAAGAGAGATCTCCCTCACCACTATTAAACTCAGCCTCCAATGCAGAGCCACTGAGGCCTACAGAAGCCTGGATAAGTTCTTCTGTGGTGATGGCGGAGCACCCCAGGAACCTACTCTTTGGAAGGATTTCTTGCGTCGCTTCTGAAAAACTATGCTTGAGACTTCGTTTTCTCACGTGGGCACATCGTGTCCCAGGTGACATTGGAAGAGACCCACCTTAAGTACTTCAGTAGCCAAAATAATCCTATCTTTCTGATGTCTGCTGTGTCTCCTTTGAGGAAAAGAATGTCTTTGTAATGAAGATTGGCTACCTTCAAGTGTGGATAGTTATCATTGTTGAAAAAACATGGACTCCACTGTGAGGTCTGAGCTCCTGCACCACCAACCCCCCGTCCCCACCATGTGTGGCACGGGAAAGCTGCCCCTCATGCTCCCGACTAACGGCCCTCAGCACAAGGCAGTAAATCCTTCCCGCTACAGACTCACTTGAAGCTCTTTCTTTTGCACAGTTTCTTGGCCTGTTATCTCCTTTGAGCTCAAATCACAGGACAGAAGGGCCTTAGAAGCCCCAGGTTCAACAGCTTCCCTTCCAGATCCCATTTGGATGGCTCAGCAGCCCCTCTCTGCAACCTGATTTTACCCTGGAGAATACAGTGCAATATCTCCCTTTGATTATTTATTCCTCGTGATTGTGGAATTAATTCGATTACATGTCTATGGTACTAATGTCAGTGCTCCTTTCCGAAGAAGAAAATGGGGTGATTTCGATGGTCAAACATTCCATACACACACATCAACAACCACACAAGGCTAAAGGCGTTTTGAGCTAGAAGGGCCTTCAAGGTCACACAGACAACCCCCTCGTGTTGTCGAAAAGGAAATTGAGGCTCAACACAGAAAGTCTGACTACACATGCTCACTAATACCCCAGCTTGCTAATTGAGGCTCTCTCCCCAGATAGCGCCCGGATCGAGAAGACGGCCCTGCCAAACTCCATGATGATAGCTATCCCTGGTTGGAACAACAGTGGAAATGTCCCAGATGTTTCTATCCTACTTGGGTGTTGATGACAAAGTGGAAAACTTGTGGCGGATCCCCGGGGTCAGCCTATAGGGAAACTCACCAGACCCCTCCCACAACCAGGCCCCATCCCCTTCCCCGCCGCGGTAGAGAGAGGAGAGAGAGATTTCACTTCCGGGATTTGCTTGCCTGCCTCTTTGTGGGCCTGTTTCCACGCCACCCCTCTGAGGAGAGACATACTAATTCTTCACAGAGTCAGGAACGTATAAACCTTGTGCGACATGGCCAGCATCACTCAGGCAGTTAGTATAAGTGCGCATTTAGAAGAGGTGAGGAAAAGGTCGTGCTTCACCCCTACTCAGGAGAGCCTGTACGGGGGTCAAATAGAACCTGGGCTTTGGAAGGAAACCATCTCATTTCAGACCATCCCAACTATGTCGTCCATTAACTTGGAGACTCCCTCAAATTGAAATCCTCTGAGCCTTCATTTCTTTTATCTGTCGAAACAGGGATAACACCACACAGGTGAGGTTCCCGCGAGGTCGACCCTGTGACGCAGTAGGTGCGACATGGCCCTTTCTTGTCTCTCCTGGCCCCGAGTAAGATCTGGAATTCGCCACCAGCGAACAGCACGTATATTTTGTCCCCCCCCCCAACGTAATTGGGAACGTGAGTGCCAATTAGCTGCGCGCATACGGCCCCTTTTGCAAAGATGGCGCCTTTTGGAGTAATTATTTATGACTCAAGAAGAAGCAGTAATAAGAACCGGGAGGGATATTAGTGGAAAGAACGCAGGAGAACAAAGAGAAGGAATGGAAGGGTTATACTGGGCTTCTGTGGAGCCCAGAGCAGCTTCTGAGATGTTGCCTCGCAGACTGGCTAGTGGGGACCTGTAGGCCTCACACACCATATTTTTCAAGCTGCCTTTAAAAGAGAAAGATGTACACTGGGTCACAAAAAAATACCAAGCCTCAAGCAGGTCCCTTCAGAGTAGCGCAAGCGAGTTCAGCGGTGTGGTTTTTGATGAGAGGCTGGGGAAATCCGACACACCCAGTGCCCTTTTTCAATACAGTCTGTCTTTCCGCATGATTCCCCTTCCACATTAATGGAAATACTGGGTCTCTGCTGCCTGAATAGAAAGGATTCTAGGTAATGAAGTGAATCACAGATTACAGGGAACATTGGAAGTTTTATCTCCTTTGGGAAACCATTGGGTCAGAAAAAGTCACGTCGGACAAAAGATCATAAATAATACCTGTCCTACAAAAGAAATGCCGGACGATTACCTTACATACAGGAGAGATGAGGGCCTGGGAATAAAAGGGGGAAGAGCTGGACTTTATTTTCCTTGATACGAACCCTGCAGTATTGAACAACATTGGAAGTAGCCCCCCTCCCCCCCAACCGTCACAACCTTTGTGGATATTAGTTTATGGGGGTTTTTTCAATCCCTTCTTTTCTCTCGGTTCCGGTGACTTGTCTTCCTTTGAGTTTGTTTTTCTCTTTCAAGAATTGAAAACTATTATTCAACATTTATTAATCTTTCACTGGATGCCCGACGCCATACGAAACCCTCGGGCAGTGGCGATTCGCCGTGTTCAATGGGGACAGCCCGGTATACAGACTGTGTCGTACCGTGGGGTTGGCAAGACGGTGGGATTAGAGGAAAGCGAAACCTTAAATAAGGCTGCTGGGTCACGGGCCCCTCCCTCCTCCGCCTTCACACCTGGATTCCAGAATTGGTGTCATTTTTTTCCCATCAGGGAGACCCATGAAAAATGCCACCACCCCGCACATCCCTGAGACAAGTGAGATAAAGCAGGATCCGAGGTAGCAGTCTACCTTTGTTAACGTTTTCCAAGCTTCGGGAACCTTCCCCTTCCCCCGGCGCCCAGATTATGGGGTGACTTCTTCCTTTAAAATTGAGACATGACTTAACGTACGTATGGTCACCTACCCAGACCTCAGGGGTACAGATGGACGAAACTTTACATGGGTGTATACCGTGTCACCACCTCTCAGATCCAGACCCAGACCACATCCAGCACCCCAGAATGTCCCCTCGTGTCCGTGCTGTCCTGCAAAAGGCATCTGGAAGGCCTTTGACATTTGTCCCTTCCTTCCTCTCGCTTCTCGGATATAATGAAAAAAGCAGGGAAACTGCCCCCCATCAACACAAAACAGGACAGAAAAGACCAAGTATCTTTTGACAAGTCAATTTGTAGTCAGTTCCGGGCCCCAATTTCTTCATGTAAAACAAAGATACTTATTTGAGGCTGCGTGATTTTTAGAATCCTTTTGGCTCTAGCTTTCTTTGATTCTAAGTGAACGAGAAAGAGAGAGAACCTAAAGGAAACGACGTTTCTGTACAACAGCTTTTAGGTCCGTGCACCATTGACCAAGTGGGATTTTAAAATTTGTTGGAAAAGGTAAGTTCCTCTTGGGGTGGGTTGAGAGTGGAACCACCAGTTTTAATCTACAAAAGGGAAAAGATAGTTTTCCTTTTAAGTTGATGATTTCAGGCTGATTCTTACAGTCCAGCCAAAGCCGGTCTCCCACACATGCTGCCTAAACTCCTCTATTAGTCCAGTTTTGTGAGTTGTTCATGCAAACTTTGTCAAAGGCTCTGTTGCCAGGATTTTATAAACTAGTTGGTTTTCAAACATGGCCCGTTAGGGAGATGTGCATTGAAGTAGCAAAATTTTGTTCAGATTTGCTGTTATTTATTTTTTAAATTAAAAATGGAAATGTATTTTGAAGTTTATTGTGTTTAGTTTGTTATTGCCTTTATGTTAAAGAAACAAAATCATTCCTGGGCTTTTCTTTATTGACACCTCCTTCGCGACACATCATACCCAGTCCCTCTGGGCGCCTTTCCTTACGAGTCCTGTTTAGACTCGTGCTGTGGGGTCATGGAGTCGTCTTTGCCTGGAAGCAATAAAAACTGCAGACCATTTGGTTCTCCCCCCTCCATCCATCCCTTTGCCATCGGAGCTGATGGCTTCTGACAACAATTCGTTTATAAGATGGGTTCTGTTTCTCCATTCATTGGCTTGCAGAGTTGAAGGGAAGTAAAAGGAGTAGCTAATATCTTACTTGGGAAGGATAGGACCCAATTCTGAAACTGGATTGAATGTTAGTATCACCTAAGAAGAGGCTGTACCTCAGAGCAATTAAATCAATTTCCAAGAGAGGGGAGTATGACCGAGGCGCCATATTCCTTTAAAATCTCCCCCTGCTGGGGCGCCTGGGGAGCTCAGTAGGTTAAGCCTCAGACTCCTGATTTCAGCTCAGGTCATGATCTCCTGGTTTGTGAGTTCGAGGCCCTCACTGGGCTCTGTGCTGAGGGCACAGCACCTGCTTGGGATTCTCCGTCTCCCTCTTTCCTCCTCCCCTGCTTGTGCTCTGTCTCCCTCTCAAAATAACTAAACTTTAAAAAATAAATCAATAAAATCTTCCCCATGTTATTCCAGCATTAGGTCAAGGCTGGACACCACTACCTTAGAGAAAACAACTTGAAAAAAAATCGGTGTCCAAAAATGGATGTTCATTGCTTCGACTCCCTGCTGGTGGTGGGTCACACTGGAGAGAGGGGGGCAACTACACTTCAGTTAGAATAGCCACCCTGTTTTAAGTCCTGGGCTTATGCCTAAGATTTTTTTTTCTTTTAAGAAAATGTCTCAGAACTTTTAACCATTTGCCATCTAGTGCATTTTAGAGCAATAATGCTCTACTGTGTACGTAAGCAGCCATGGCATGTTCAATATGCAAATGGTTTGGGCCCCCCGAGACTGAATCACCAAGCCTGGGAAATCTTTTTGGGTGTAGGGTCTCCAGAGAGAAATATTACTTTAAGGGCACCTGGGTGGCTCCATCAGACGTCTGACTCTTCGTTCCAGCACAGGTCATGATCGCGTGGTTTGTGGGATCGAGCCCCTGCATGGGACTCTGTGCTGACAGCATGGAGAATGTTTGGGATTCACTCTCTCTCACTCTCTCCCTCTCTCTCTGCCCCTCCCTGCTCCCAGGCTTGCTCTCTCTCAAAACAAACAAAAAAATCTTTAGAGCATTGTCCACTGTCAAAATTTATAGGGGTGCCTGGGTGGCTCAGTGGTTGAGCATCCAACTTGAGCTCATGGAGGCCACTGCAGTTTGTGAGTTCGAGCCCCAGGTCGGGCTTTGTGCTGACAGCTCAGAGCCCGGAGCCTGCTTTGAATTCTGTGTCTCCCTTTCCCTCTGGCCCTCCCCTGCTCACACTCTGTCTCTCTCTCTCGAAGATAAACACTTTAAAAAAATTATAAATGCTTTTGTCTCATGCAGTGATTGCTGGCTTTTTCCCAGTTATTGTCGGAAGACAACCCTTGGCGAAAATGGCTAATCTTCAAGCCGCTCCTTTTGGTAAACACTTAAAGCCCTATCTATTTGAGAACTTCTCTCGTCAAAGAGAGCGTTTGGTATGGTTCCCCACTCTTCATTTGGGAAGGCTTCTTTTGGAAGCAGCATTGATGAGGTCGTGGGTTGTTCAGATCCAGGAAGATGTTTAAAATGTTCATAAAGAGGTCATCTTTGCTCTCCTTGTCCCTAGGCATTGGGCCATTTGAGAACCAAATACCCAACATGTTCAGGGGAGTCACAAGCCACCGAGCTCATGAGCATCTCTGTAACCCATTCAGGGAAGCCCACAGCTGCCCGCAAAGAAATTGCCCAAAGACAAGCCTTGGCAAAGAAAAGCCGAGACTCCAAACAGGACGTGAAAACGAAGGGGCAGGGCGCCTGGGTGGCACAGTCGGTGAAGTGTGTGGCTCTTAATTTCGCCTCGGGTCGTGATTTCCAGGCTCCTAGCTGACAGGGCGGAGCCTGCTTAAGATACTCTTTCTCCTTCCGGCTGCCCCTCCCCCTCCCCCAAAGTGACCGCGTTGCCCTGTTTGTTTGTTTTTTTTTCCCAGCGTGTTAACTAAAGATTGCAAATGGTATTGCTTTTATTAACAAAAATGATTTTACTGTTAACAAAAATAACAATGTAACAAAAATAGCGATGAAAAAAAATGACTGTGTGCCGGTCACTGAGTGATTGGCAGACGGAAGCTTCTCATCCTGCCTTGTATGTATCGGTGAGTCAAATGATGCAGTTTTGACTTTTGTGCGGTACAGTAGGTTGTGGACCCACATCTCTGCCTAATTTTATTAAAGTGGGAGGAAGGAGGTTCTCTGATCCAGATTTAGAGATTCCTCAAATGGAGATATTTGGGCAATCTGGCATTGGGCAGATCTGTATCAAAAAGGGAGGGTTTTGGGGGCCCCTGGGTGGCTCAGTCGGTTGAGCCTCTGACTTCGGCTCAGGTCGTGATCTCGCAGTGAGTTCGAGCCCCATGTCAGGCTCTGTGCTGACAGCTCAGAGCCTGGAGCGTGCTCCAGATTCTGTGTCTCCCTCTCTCTCTGCCTCTCCCCTGCTCATGCTCTCTCTGTCTCTCTCTAAAGTAAATAAACATTTAAAAAAAATTTTTTTAAAAGAAGGGAGGGTTTTTTTCCCCCATGGATTGCTTCTGACTCCAGTTCAAATTCCTTAACACAGGCCCTTTTTGGGGGGGGGGGCAGGGAGAGGAGGGGAAAGGCACCTTGATTGAAAGAAGGAAAGGACCTTGATCGTGGCCATGTGAATGTGGGCACAGTTTGCTGCTGTGCCACCAGGTGGTTTATCGGAAATTTAAGGTTTTCAAATGGTCTCATAATCACTTGGAAGTTACGAGGATAATTGAGAACTGGTATCAATGTCTGGGGCTCCTGGAAAACTGGTCCCCAGTAAACTAAATAGATACATGAGCCCCAGGATCCTGTTTCAGCTCCAATTAACAAAATAACCAATTAACAAAAGAGGGGCTAGCTCTCAAGTCCAATACCATCAGCTGCTCATCGTGGTGCAATACGGGAGCCCTGCCCGTGTAAACCCCAACAGAACTGAGTGAATCCCTCAAACCCTGGTTTCCTCCCTTTCGAGGGAAGATGCTATACTCCGTAGCATTTCTCACGAGCGATCCCCAAAAGATAACGACGGATGAACACGATTATTTTTAGGCCTGGGTCCCAAGCCTGGGCCTGCACCACTCGCTGTGGTGAACACATGCAGGCCACGTGCAGCCAGGAGCCCGGGACTGGGAGCCCAGCAGGGCCTCCTTTCTCTCTAAGCCTCTCTCCAGTTCCGCTTGACTTTCAAAGGGATTGGAGACAGCCGGGGAAGGGAGCTGCTTTCCACGTGGGAGGAAGCCTTCCTCCCTCACTTCCACAGAGTATGGTCAACAATAAAGCTACAATACCAGAGAAGATTGTTGCTGAGTCGGATGTGGGGGCCCGGACCCGTAGGTGACTGCTCTTGGGGCAGGGTGGTGGCGAAGGAGAGCCATGGGCTTTCTTTAGTCAACAATAATGTCGACTTGGTGTTACCTCGTGTCTCCTCTGCCCCAGACTCAGAGTCCTCCCCTTTATGGGCCTACAGGGTCCCTCCCCCACCAGAGTTCCGCACTAGACGTAACATTTATGCCACTTTATTCATAACACAGCACTTCCTGGTGAAATATGCAAATTTAGCATAAGCGTAACTGAAATTCACACAATTGATAGACGTTAAAACGGGTCACAAATTGCAGTGTCAGAATTATACTTGTGTTGACAATCCTTTTGACTCAGTGGGTTTAAATCTTCTTCTGCCCAGTTTCCTCTTCAGTCAGACTTTCCTGAAAAATATGTGAGCAACCAATATACCGAGGTTGATTTTACTAGCTGAATTCCATTATGCTTTTGACATTTTAGTTTCTAAAATACTGATATACAAAGAAGAGACCCGTTTATTTATTTAAAAAAAATTATTTTTAATGTTTGTTTATTTTTCAGAGAGAGAGAGAGAGAGAGACGGAGACAGAGTGTGAGCCAAGGAGGGTCAGAGAGAGGGAGATACAGAATCCGAAGGAGGCTCCAGGCTCTGGGCTGTCAGCACGGAGCCCGACGGGGGGCTTGAACCCACAAACTGTGAGATCATGACCTGAGCCAAAGTTGGACGCTTAACTGACTGAGCCACCCTGGCGCCCCGAGATCCATTTATTTTTTGTGCACTAGCAAGTGCTAGAGAGATAACAGATAGTGTGTTTTTAAGTTTTTTAATAAACCTAAAATCTACATTAATAGTTGAAGGATAGGATGTGAAAGAGATGAAAGAAAGATCTGATCTCCGTTTGTTATTAACCTAGCTCTTGTCTCAATTCCTTCTAACGTCGTGCTTGGGAAATATCACTGCTTACTATTTTGTGTGGTAGGTCGGAGTAGAAAGAAAAAGCAAATAAAGATGTCTGTCTGCATTTTTTTTCTTTGAACTGTGAGTGTGGAAGTTGAGGTCAATGGAGAAAAAGAAAACTATAGCTTATCTTCATATATGATTTATTCAGGCTTTCCCTGCTCCTGGGCATAACTGGTAACTAATTGGAATGCCCCTAAGTGCTGCAGATACGCGGACTGCGGAGCTCAGAGATCACCAACAGTGAGTTCAAGGTTCAATTTCTATATTCAGTTCTCTGTATACTTGTGTTTGGTTATGAAAAACCTGTATTAAGTTAGTAGATTCCCATTTTTGGTGGGAATGTGGAGGTGGTTATAATCCAGTCAGAAAACTAGAAATCAAGGGTGCCGGGGTGATTCAGTCAGTCGAACGTTCGACTCTTGATTTCGGCTTGGGTCATGATTCCAGGGTCTGGGATCGAGACCTGAGTCAGGCTCTGTGCTCACTGTGGAGCCTGCTTAAGATTTTCACTCTCTTTCTCCCTCTGCCCCCTCCTGGACTCATGCTTGCTCGCTCGCTCTCGAAAGTAAAACACACACACACACACACACACAACCAATCGGAAATCAAATATGTGGTTCTGAATTATAAATTTACTAGTTTGGAATTTTTTTTATTCCAAAGGGAAAAAAATTAACTAGAGCACCATTTTTGATTTCCTCATTTTTCCAGAGCAAAACTATGTCATACCAAGAACATTGGTGAAGAATTAAGGAATCTGGTGGAGAGGTGTGGATTGGCCTAGATTAGAATAGTCTGGGGAAGGGGGGCTGATGAATAGTACTTGAAGAACCAACATATAACAGTGGGAAGAAATTTGTCAGTCATCCCAAAGGCCAGAACCAAGATGAGATCAAGGTTACAGAGAGATTTCAGTGTAAGGGGTAAAAAAAGGTTCTAGCTGTTGGTACTGAAAGATGGCGTCACAAAATGGTGAGACCCTACCCCGGGAGGAATTCACGCAGTCAGGAAGGTAGGCCCTATGGAGGCTGAGAGCTGGTTGTCCTGTGTGGACAGCCTGAGAGGCGGTACCAAGGAGTCGTTCACCTCTAAGGCCCCATGTCATCACCACTGTAACTCACCAGAACTCCTCGCAGGTCCTTGAGGGGAGAACGGGGCTGGTGGATGGTGCATTCGAAGCGCGGACGTTCTGCGGGTTGATCAACCTCTTTGGCTATCTGAGGAAAAAGAAGGAGATTCTTGCTGATGGAGATAAAGAAGTGGAATGGTGTCTCCCACTTCTACCAAAGATTGTGCGTGGAAAGTGAGGCCAAGGGGATTATCTAAGAAGATAGATCCTCCATCAGGCATTTGAATGGATGGGTTGGGGGGGGGGTGGTTCTGGAGGTAATGGCGGTAATGAGGAGAGAATATTTTCTCCTGAGAGATGATGATAATGAAGTACTTCGAACCTCCTGAGGGGATGGTATACAAAAAGTCTAGGAGCTTCGAGATGTGAATAGGGTGATTTTTAGTTTCTAGTTTTAACTAAATATGTCACAGTTAAATAAGATTTACTTCACATACAATCTGTGGAGAGGAGACTTCAGATTGCACTGTTGTAAGTGTCCCAGCCCCGAATTGCTCATCCCTTAGGCCTGTTTCCCGTTAATTTAAGAAACAATATCTGGGGCACCTGCGTGGTTTAACTGGCACTGGTTAGGCATCTTGCTCTTGATTTCAGCTCCGGTCATGATGTTGAGGCTTCTGAGTCTGAGCCCCACCTTGGGCTCCATGCTGACAGTGTGGAGCCTGCTTGGGATTCTCATTCTCTCTCTCTCTCTCTCTCTCTCTCTCTGCCCTTCCCCCATTCTCTCTTTCTCTCCCCACCCCCCTCAAAATAAATACATAAACTTAAAAGACAAAAATAGAGGGGCACCTGGGTGGCTCAGTCGGTTAAGCGTCCGACTTCGGCTCAGGTCCTGATCTCACGGCCTATGATTTGGAGCCCCCATCAGGCTCTGTGCTGACTGCTCGGAGCCTGGAGCCCGCATCGGATTCTGTGTCTCCCTCTCTCTCTGCCCCTCCCCCACTTGTGCTCTTTCTCTCTATCTCAAAAATAAATACAACATTAAGAAAATAAATAAATAAAATGTCTGTGTCTTCTACACATTAAAAAAAGAAATAAAAATAAAAGAAATAATAGCGACTCTTTTTTTATTAGCCCACTTTCCTTTTGGGGCTTAGTCAACTAACATCTAAGGCCTCTCTCATGTGACCATGACCCCAGGAAGTCTCATTTCAGAGATAAAAAACCAAGTGCCCTATGTTAGTGCTGGTACTAATACTGACATCTAATTTACATGAAATCAAATCCAGCATATTCTCCAGTATATATCTTGTGTCCCCAAGCTTGCTAACTGCTCCCCTCTATCCAGCAGCCTCCAAGTTCTTTGCTTAAGTGCCCATTTCAGTAAAAAGAAATGATAGGGCATGCATGCTTGGTGAGGATACTGATTTGCAAGTTACAAAGATGTACCACTGGGGCCCCTGGGCGGCTCAGTTGCTTTAGCGTCCGACTTCGGCTCAGGTCATGATTTCACGGTTCGAGGGTTCGAGCCCCCGCGTCGGGCTCTGTGCTGACAACTCAGAGCCTGGAGCCTGCTTCTGATTCTGGGTCTCCCTCTCTCTCTGACCCTCCCCGTGTTCATGCTCTGTCTCTCTCTGTCTCAAAAATAAATAAACATTAAAAAAAA